TAAAGAATGACTTTTAATAACACACATTTGTATATACTATAATAGGGTCGGTTGAAATAAAGCGCATTCTACAGAAATTCAAACCCTAATACTGTTTAACTAACCTTAACTATTCACTAAAGAAATATTTGTTATTTTGATTAAACCCTCTTCTTAATCAAACATTTTTGGGCGAGCTACGTAGGTGTTATAAATGTGCACTCACTCATGAACAAAAGCGCCTTTAAACGTCGAAAACATCGATTCATTCTACAACGAAAGGCAATTTCTTTTTCCTTTACCACGAAAACTGAACAAGAGTGTTGCACAACTACGGAACCCTTGCTGGTTTTACAGTAACTTGTGCTGTTTCACGTTCTCTAGAAATAGGGTCCTTTTAATGCGGCTTTCACCGTATTTTCTTCAGCGAAAAAAACCTGAAGGTCGTCGTTTGGTAATTATGAGTATTGACTCGATAAGGATATGAAAATCTAAAATCAACCGTGGCTAGTAGTCGAGCCCTAGCGCCTTGAGTGATGTCTGCTACATTTTCTTGTTTTAACGACCTTTTTTATATGAGCCCAAATTATGGCAATAGTTCTGAATTTTATTTGTTATGCATTTGCTATACCATAACACTTCAGTTTTCCAAGAGTGTGGTAGCCCTTTTCATCGGCAACATTGTTGGGGCCGTTAATTCCTGTATCTCCAAACCTGAGCTCTTTGACTGGAAGATGGTCCTTGTCTGTGAGAAGACCGCTGTCCTCTCGCCACTCTGCGTCATTCTTATCACAGTTACACGTTTGACTTGAGTCTGCACACGAGTTGGTCATCCCGCATGCGCAACTGTTATTTCTAGGCGACGCTCCACCCCAGTACAACATTTGTGAAGAATCACGTGATACCCACCAACCAGCAGGCGATGAATTTCCAAGCCAAAACACAGAGCCATAGCATTCATATTTGATGAATTGTTCGCAATACGTAGAGACCAGAGTAAGATTTGCTAGCTGAGACAAGGTAACTCCTGAGTAGTGAATGCTGCGTGAGTAACTACCATGATTATCATATCCATCCACTAGTGTTCTGCTCTCACTGTTATGACTTACGACTGTCACGCCAACCCCATTTTTGTCACGCATGTCGCAATACACCCTAAACGGTGCCAGTCCTCCTTCGCCATCTGGGTCAATTACAAAACTTCCGCTAGAGCCGCTGACGTATTTACGTATCACAGAACAGGAAGCAGCTGTAACTGGAGTCTTTATTTCTACACTAGTCTCGATTGTCGATAGAGCATTGCTTGCTATGCAAGTGTACAATCCAGCGTGTGAATTGGTTACATTACGTATAATTAGTGTGTTGTTTTGAAGAATGTTAGTATCAGCGGGAAGCAATGGCTTGCCATCCTTTAACCACGTGACTTTAGGACTCAGGTCACTCTCGGCTTCACATGGCAGTCGCACAGGAGACCCAAGGAATGGAGTAAGATATTTGGGAGGGAGAACTGAAAAATTCAAAGAGAAAATCATCACTTGTATCGTGTCCTCTGTCCTTCCCAGTATATTCTCTGCTTTGCAAATATATACACCGCCGTCCTTTTTTTTTACGTTGACGATTTTCAAAGCTGTGGCGCTCACCACAGCTCTCTCAGGTAAACTGCTGAATGCTTTTGACCACGTGATATTAGGCTGCGGCTGACCAGTGGCACTGCAGGGGATGCTGATATTTTGTCCCTCTTCGGCCAGCAGTCGACTGGAACTCAGTAATAATCGCGGGGCAACTGTTAAAAAACAGAATCCGATAAAACAATTTGTGAAAATGAGTTCTAAAAATTAGAGTCTTTTAATTAGTTGCCTGTTTTAAAATGGGCCATTCGTGACACTTACATTGAACCGTTAACTGTACTGAGGCTTTGGCACTTCCCAGCAGGTTTTCCGCACTGCAGCTGTAGATTCCGGTATCTTCTGGTTTCACTTTCTTTATAACTAGCGCGTTACTGGGTCCAGGGACGTGACGCCCAACCGGAAGTGATGATTTGCTCTTTGACCATGTGACCCTTGGTTGTGGATTTCCGTCTACTGTGCATTTCAATATTGCTGTTTGGCCGTCGTTGATTTTCTTTTCAACAGGAGGAGCTTCGATGAAAAAGGGAGCAGAAATCGACCTTCCCTGTTCGCCTTTCTGACCCTTCTCTCCCTGGGGGCCTCTTGGTCCGGGTGGTCCCACATCCCCCTGTACTCCCAGATCTCCCTTTATTCCCATTGGTCCTGGAATTCCCTGGGGGCCATGCTTCCCAGGGCTTCCGGGTCTTCCACGGCGGCCGGGTTTTCCCCGCGGTCCTGCACGGCATAACACATGATCTTTAGCGCAGATTTGGTTCTGCAAAAGTCGCAGCTCGTCTCGTATCAGTAGTTGTGCATAGGAGGGTGTTACTGTGGGACTAACTTGTTTGCTCGGTGATGAGCTTGCACTTCTTTTTACTCTGAAATTGCTCTGTTTGTGTCCTGAACGAGTATAATCAAGAAAACAAAAATTATAATACTTATACTACTACATGAGAAATTACTGCAATTTGATTGGCTTAGAGCAGTGGTATTTCAGCTTAATTTGAAATACCTACATGTGAAAATTACAAACCTTTTGTGGGTAGTAGTATAAACAAATAATAGCATGATTTGTACGTGATATTTGGCATAAATACCACTCGTGATATTTCAAAATTGTCTCAATTTTCACTCGCCTAACGGCTCGTGAAATTACGTATAACAATTTTGAAACATCACTCGTGGTATTTATACCAAATATCACTACAAAGTTTTCGTGAGCCTAAAAAGTTAACTCGACTATAAATCTGTATGTGGCAATGTTCAGATTAAAAATATCGCGCACAAAGCTCGTGAGAAATTTTCCTCTTTTTTTAAATTACAGAGAATGAATAGATTCACCTTTTCTTGTTGTTGATTTTTTCACAAAACCGGTTTTATAATAGGCCCAAATATTATGGCTGCTATAAAACAACACATTCTGGTCTCTACCTGTGTTTGTCTGAGTTATTTCCTCTGCCATTCCTCCCCAACGTTTAAAATTCTCTTGAACTTTTCGCAGTATTTCAGTCTCCATCTGATCACAGACTGTTGTTGTTTGTGATATTAACCGTTGCTGCTCCTGAATCCTGAATTCCACATGAATAACTGCGACACAGCACGCGATGGACAGCAACAACCCAGACGTGCAACACAAACGATCGAGCGCTATTCGTCCGGTCTTTTCTTGACGATCTGTTTTTTCTTGTTTCATTGTTTGTTCTCTACGCGCTACTAAAGTCAAGGCTTAAGCAATTAAGTGCCGCTGTATCGGTTGTGTGCGAGGATAAATTGCTTGAAAACTGTAACCATTCAAAGAAGAGAAATGAGAAACTAAAATGATAATGAAAGGACAACTTCCTGTTACGTTTGGAGGGTGTGGTTGGCTCAGACCCAATGTAAACCGCTCTTAGTGGATCAGCTATAATAACTGCGAAATTAATCATCAAGTTTGTATTGTCAAAGGTCACATTGTTTCAGAAGGGATATATAAAAAAAACTGTTTATTATTTGTTGAGTCAAAGTTATCCAGAATTTTAGGTTCGTTTCAAGGAAAACGTGATGTTCTGTTACATGAGAAATTTTTACCGCCTTAAGTCGGCAGTTTGAGAGATGCGAATTTTTTAAGTACAGTTGATACACTTTTTCGTAGTAGAGCAAGGGAAATCTCCAGATGTCGACAGGTTATAAAAGTTGCCATAAATGTTGAACGTCTTAGTTGGCATTATCTCCAGATTTTTGAGCCACGTGGTGAATTTCAAAGGACTTAAGGTTTACTACTACGTCATAGATCAACCATCCCCGCAGGTTTTTTTACTCGCTCCACTACCACCGTTTTCGGACGATTTCACCAGCCGTACCAGGCCCATATTCACTGACTGTTGTAGGAACTTGAAAGAGAAGTTGTCCAGTATCGTACCATATGTGACAGGGTCACTAGACCTATAATTTCACTAATTTTCGTTATATTAAGAAATGTATTACTTTTTTTTATTACTTTGCTCCCAATATTTTTGCGTTCAGGAATTTTCCGGTTTGATTCAGGGACGGACCATTAGAAAAGTTTTTTTTTGGGGGGGGAGGGGAATTTTCGAGCCGCAGGAATTGTTTTTTCGTTATCAAATTCCTTGTATGAATTTTTTTTAGGCCATAGTATGAATATTTTTTAGGGTTAATCGGCGTGCAAGAATTTTTTTCATTTAATTTTCCCTTGCGCGAATTTTTTTATTGTACTTCGCCTGCCCCCCTCCCCCCCCCCCATAAGTTTTCTAATGGTCCGTCCCTTAGCAAGCTTGTGTATCGGTAGGAATGATTGTACGTGTGCCCGCAAACCCACATATTATTGCCTAAATGCCGTAGCGGATATTAGCTTTTCGTGGTTTTTCTTTTCGGTAGATTGTTTTAATCAGTTAATTGACCTTTAAGTTAGTGGGATTAACCTAAGGAAATCCTGACGTTCTGTTTCTGTTTTTTTATATTCTCGTATAAGTGGAAGCACGTTTTAGCCGTAGTTCAGTTGAGTTTGGACATCACTGAAGAAACTGCAGCAGTTTATTTATTTATTTAATCGCTTTCACCATGATTACAATGCTAAAAAGACTAGGGAAAAAAATACATTAGAACAAGACACAAAAACGAAGGACGGAGGTGCGGCACACACAACAGAGCGAGGCTCCAAATTAAGTGTGCCCTTACGGAAAATACACAAATACTAACTATGTAAACATTAAACATTATAAAAAGTATAAAAATCCCATTTATAAAAATGATAAGAATGAATCCCTCCAACAGCCGATAGAAAGTCTTAGTAGCAGCAGTTACCAGCTAATAGAAGATTACTTGACCTACTGCATTTGCAGCAGATCGACTTCCAGGTGTTTAAGTTAGTGACGTCATAGTTGTGCTAAAAGCAGCCGAATAGCGTTGGAGTACGTGAGATTTAAACTGATTAAGAGAACTAAGAGTACGAGTGGATACAGGTAACGTATTCCAGAGTTAAGCAATACGATTAAAGTAACTAAATTGAAAGAGCTTTGTGCGGCATTCGGGAATTAGTACGTCTTGATCAGAGCTGTGGCGAGTGAGACGAATGCCTTTAGGCTTGACATAATCCTTTATGGGTAAGGTGTAGTAGCCAGCGCGACACTTGAAATAGAAAATTAAATCTTTCACTTCATGCCAGTATGTTAACGGTATCAGATTGAGGCGAGAAAGGCGCTCATGGTAAGAAATATCCTCTTGCCAGTGCGTGTTTAAGATGAATTTTGTTGCCCTGCGTTGAAGACGTTGTCTCTATTTTTGTTATATATCATACTGGGAGCCCATACCTCGCTAGCATAGCCAATATATATATATATGATCTTACAAACGTGAGATAAAGTAATTTCCTATGGTCTGTAATGAATGACATGACAATATTGCGGCGCAAAAATGCGAACATCCTATTGGCCTTAGCTAAGATAGTGTTACTGTGAGTATCCCATGTGAGGTCCGGCGAGATAGTCACTCCGAGGTCTTTTACTTAAGTGACGTGTTTAAGTGAGTTGTTGTTCAACTTGTAATCGTAGCGAAATGGGTGGCGCTTACGTGTGACGGTTAGCACCTCACATTTACAGGTGTTAAACTTTAGGTGCCAATTATCGCTCCAGCGATGCAGACTGTCCAGGTCCTTTTGTAGTGAGTCACAATCTTGTAGACTTTCAATGACACTGGAACATTTTGAGTCATCAGCAAAGAGTGCGATACGATTCTGTATCACCGGCGGGAGATCGTTCACATAGACTAAAAACAGCAGAGGACCGAGGATACTACCCTGAGGGACTCCTTATGGAACTGGAGAACGACTAGCAGTGAAACCGTGGACCAAACACTGCTGACCGCGTCCACCTAGATAGCTATTTGTTTCAAGAATATCAAAAAATTCGTTTATCGCTTAGTTTATTAAGTTACTTTGCACGCCTAGTTCCGGATGTGTTTATTTAAGCAATAGACCACACTTTCTAAGGGTCTACCGGCGTGATAATCCACGCGGGATGTTGGGAGAACACGATTTACAAGCTTTTCGAGTGTTCTCCCATCATCCGAAGTGGGTTATCACACTGGTAAACCCATAGAAAGTGTGGTCTATTGTTTTTATATATAACTTTAAGTTTTCTATGAGTTTACCAGCACAATAAACCATAGGTTTTCAACCAATCAGAACGCGCGTACTATCTTAGTTATTTTATAAATACGGGTAAATCTAACAGCAAAACCAGAGAAGTTGCGGGTACGTCACATTCTTTTAACGACATAATATTCCGAATCCAAACTTATGAAACTAGCTATTCACTTGCTATTCCGTAACAATTAAGTTTCCCCAGAGTGTGGAAGCCTTTCTCATCAATAGGACCGTGTGTTGTTGTATCTCCAAACCTGAGCTGTTTGACTGGCAGTTGTGTCTTGTCCGTGAGAAGACCGCTGTCTTCACGCCACACTGCATCATTCTTATCACAATTACACCTTTTACCGGAGTCTGCACATGAGTTGGTCATTCCGCATGCGCACTTATTACTTCCCGGTGAGGCTCCTCCCCAATACGTCATTTCAGAAGAGTCACGTGATACCCACCAGCCATATGGGCCGGAAAGCAGGACAGAGCCATAGCATTCATATTTGATGAACTGTATACAGTTTTTAGACACGTCAGTAAGGCTCGCCAGCTGAGGAAAACTTGCTCCTGAATAATGAATATTGCGTGTGTATGATCCCGCTTCCTCAAGTCCGTCCACTAGTGTTCTGCTCTCACTGTCGTGACTTATAACTGTCACGCCAACTCCATTTTTGTCGCTCATGTCACAATACACAGTAAACGGTGCCAGTCCCCCGTTACCATCCGGGTCAATGACGTAACTTCCGCTAGAGCCACTGATGTACTTCCGTGCCACAGAACAGGAAGAAACAGTTGGAGTCTTAATTTCAACGCTAGCTTCGATTGTTGACAAAGTGTTGCTTGCTCTGCAAGTGTATGATCCAACGTGTGAATTTTTCACGTTATAAATAACCAGTGTGTTGTTCCGTAAAATGTTAGAATCAACCGGAAGTGATGGATTGCCATCCTTTAACCATGTGATTGTAGTGCCCAGGTCACTTTCGGCTACACATGGTAAACGCACAGGATACCCCAGCTTAGGAGTAGTTTCCATCGGTGGGCGAACTTTAAATCGCAGACGAGAGAAAACCACCAATTGAGCTGTACCCTGAACATTCCCAAGAATATTCTTTGCTCTGCACACATAGGTTCCCCCGTCCTGGTTTTTCACCTTGTTGTTTTTCAATGCAGTAGAACTAACCACAGCTCCGACAGGTAAATCACCGATCGATTTCGACCACGTGATAATAGGCTGCGGCTGACCAGTAGCACTGCAGGCAATGTTGATGTTTTGTCCCTCTTCAGCCATCACTCGACTGGGACTCATTGATAACCGCGGAGCAACTGTTTAAATATAACCAGAAAAAACAAATGAATGAAGGTGAATGCTTTAGAATTATCAAGTCTTGAAGAGACGATTTGCTTGGATTACTCTAGTGCCTACTTGTTGTTAAAATTCACCGATATTATAAGGGCAAGGATTGGCAAGTTATGTTTTGACACGAATTGTTCGCATAAGCTTTCAAAAGATTTCGTGAGCGATAAAACTTACATTGCACTGTTAATTGTGCTGAGGCGTTAGTAATTCCCAGCAGGTTTTCTGCGCTACAGGTGTAGATTCCAGTATCTTCTGGTTTTACATCTTTTAAGATCAGAGCGTTACTGGGTCCCGTCACGTAACGCCGAAGAGGCAGAGTCGGTCTTTCCCTGGACCAGGTGACCCTCGGTTGTGGATACCCGTCAACTGAACATTTCAAAATTGCTGTTTGGCCTTCTTTGACTGTCTTTTCAGCAGGCGCTTCGATGAAAAAGGGAGCGGAAATTGACTTTCCCTGTTCGCCTTTCTGACCCTTCTCTCCTCGGGGTCCTCTTGGTCCCGGTAGTCCCACATTTCCCTGTACTCCCGGATCTCCCTTTATGCCCATTGGTCCTGGAATTCCCTGGGGGCCATACTTCCCAGGGTTTCCCGGTCTTCCTCGACGGCCCGGTTTTCCTCTCGGTCCTGCACGGCATAACACGTGATCTTTAGCGCAGATTTGGTTCTGTAGAAGTCTCAGCTCGTCTCGTATCAGCAGTTGTACATAAGAGGGTGTTACTGTGGGACTAACTTGTTTGCTCGTTGATGAACTTGCACTTCTTTTTGGTCTGAAATTGCTCTGTTTGTGACCTGAACGAGTATAATCAAGAAAACGAAATTTATAGTACTAAGTGGGCATAGAAAGTAAACTCGATACTAAACCTGTAATGTGACAATGGTCGAATGGAAAATATCGCACTCAAGGGTCATAGAAACTTTCCTCTTTTGATTACAGAGAAGGAATAGATTCACCTTTTGTTGTAGTTGATTTTTTTTGTCACAAAACCGGTTTTATACAGGGCTCAAATTCTTTGCCTGCCAAGAAACAACACATCCTAGCCTACCTGTGTTTTCCTGTGTTTTCTCGCCTGCCATTCCTTCCCACTGTTTAAAATTCTGTTGCACTTTTCGCAGTATTTCAGTCTCCATCTTATCACAGACTGTCGTTGTTTGTGAAATCAACCTTTGTTGCTCCTGAATCCTGAATTCCACATGAATTAGTGCGACACAGCACGCGATGGACAGCAACAACCCAGACGTACAACACAAACGATCGAGTGATGTTCGTCCGGTCGTTTCTTGACGATCTGTTTTTCCTTGTTTCATTGCAGTTTGCTCTCTACTCGCTACTAGAGTGAAGGCTTTAGCAATTAAGTGCTACTATATCGGTTATGTGCGAGATTAAATTGCTGAGAAAACTGTAACCATCCAAAGGAGAGAAATGAGACACTACAGATGATAATGAAGGGACAACTTCCTGTTATGTTTTGAGGGTGTGGCTGGCTCAGACCCAATGTAAACCGCTTTTCGTGGATCGGCTATAATACCGTATTTATTCGAATAAGCGCCCATCTCGAATAAGCGCCCTTCCTAAAGGCAGAAAAAGTTAATAAGCGCCCAGCCTCGAATAAGCGCCCACCCACTCCTCCTCCCAATCAAACTCAAATAAGCGCTCACCCTCACCCTACCCACTTGAGTGAATAAATTCTAATAAGAGACTTCCCCGAGGACGGAGTTTTCTTCAGAGTATTTTACAGAAACCTTGCTTTGTTACTTCTTCGCGTTTTGTTATTAGCATTAATTGTTTTGTTGCAAGATAAACATACTTCACTTGCTGAAAATGGTGAAAATTTAATAAGCGCCCAGCCTCGAATAAGCGTCCACCTCGAATAAGCGCCAACTCTCAAGGTCCGAAAATTTAATAAGCGCCCAGAGCGGTTAATCGAATAAATACGGTAACTGCGAGATTAATCGTCAAGTTTACGTTGTCAAAGGTCATATTGTCAGAAGGCATATATAAAAAATTGTTTATTATTTGTTGAGTCTAAGTAAATCAAAATTTCAGTTTGAAAGTTTCCTTTTAAAAAAAACATCGTGTTCTATTTCGTGTAAAATTTTTACTGCCCTATGTTGGCCGTTTGAGAGATGCGAATTTTTTTAAACGGAGTTGATACACTTTTTCGTAGTAGAGCAGATGTCAACAGGTTATAAAAGTTGCCATAAAAATTGAACGTCTTAGTTGGCATTATCTGTAGATTTTTTAGCCACGTGGGATCTTAGGACGCTTTGAATTGAATTTCAAAGGACTTTTAAGGTTTACTACTACGTCATAGATCAACCATCCCCGCAGGTTTTTACTCGTGCTCTCTCCACTACCGCCGTTTTCGGACGCACGATTTCACCAGCTGTACTAGGCCCATATTCACCGAGTGTTGAAGGAACTTGAAAGAGAAGTTGTCCAGTATCGCACCATGTAAGGAAATCCGAAATCCCTGGAAATTTCTGCTTGAGGAATCCGTATCCGGAATACGGGAAAATTTGTTTGTGGAATCCGGAATCCCACGCTTTGGAAACAGGAATACAGCTCGGGGAATCTGGAATCCCACTAACGATTGCAATCCAGAATCCAAGTTCCACTGACAAAGAATGGGATCCGGAATCCACGGCGCGGAATCGACAATCCAAAACGGTTTTAGATTCACTTATATGGGGCGACCAGTGACTACTTTAAACAACGAGGAAACCACTAGGACAATCAGCAGCAAATTGTAGGCGGAAAAGAGTAAACAGTGCTTTGTGTAGACCAGCAATATTGAGCAACCACCAAAGAAAATCACTCAGATTGATTGTCCGTATAGGCCCTTTGCAGCTAGCCATTCACGTGGTACAAAACCGCCGTGCTGGAGAGCAAAAGTCGCACTGGGACAAGAAAAACAAAGAAAGTTACCATTTAAAATTATGTATGTTTTTTGTTTGTCTTGTCCCAGTGCGACTTTTACTCTTCAGCATGGCGGTTTTGTACTACGTGAATGGCTAGCTGCAAAGGGCTAATTATATGGAACTATTACGGAGAGGTTATAGATAGACAGGTGCTTTCAAGGAGAGAGTCTGGTTAAAGCATTGTTTTTCGTTTATTTCCGCCCTTTTTCTTAAGATTTCATTGAATCAAAACATGGCACAATTAGTTTGGAGTCCTTGATTCAATAATTTTTGGATAATTTTTCGAATGTTTTAAATGTAGAAAAATTAGGGAGGAGGGGAGGTATAAAAATTTTGGAAATTTGAAAATATTGGATTGGGGGTTTGTTAAATATTAAATCGCTTTGTTAATTTCATTAATACAGTGGAACCTCGCTGTAAAGAAGGGCCGAGGGACCGGAAAAATATGTTCGCTATAACGAGGTCATACACTTTGCATAAAAATCGTAGCTGTACGTTCCAGTATTTCTCGGGGGGTGCCATTTTTTAGTGACATGTTGGGCATTTAGTAACTGCACCCAAAATACAGAAAACAGTTTGTTTAGATACAAACTTGCATTGTTTAATTACTATAAGTATACAATATTAGAAAGGCAACAATGGTTCAAGTCATATTTTATAGCTTGTGTACCGACTCCCCCTTCCCTCAGGAAAAATCCTGAGGGAAGGGGGTTTGTACACAAGCTAATTTTTGACTATTGCATATTACTTTGAGGGGTGAAACTAAAAAAAGTCATCGATGGGAACTGTATGGGATATGAATCAAAAGTATCCTGCTTCTTAGCAATTTCTATGCAGTTGAACCACCTCTCGATTCAAAGTAACAAAATCACTTTTCCAGTCAAAGCACCATAGAAAGAATCTCTCGTAAGCGACCACCAAATCTCGGTATGTGGGCTCGTCGCTTACTGTGGTCAGTCAAAAACCTTCACCTTGCTATTTGTTTCGAGAAAATCAAAAGATTTGTTTATAGCTGAGTTTATAATCCCTCGGACGTACATGCAAAGTCATACTGTTTGGTGGTGGTGATGGTGACGGTAATGGAGATGACGATGATGATGAGTGTTAATGACAATGGTGACGATGATGATAAGGACGATTGTGATGATGATAATTATAATTAAAGACTGATGATGCATGAAGAGCGTTGACGTATGTAAGTGATGCTGAATTTATTGGTGATGGTTGATATGGTAACGTCGACGCTTATTGTGACTATGGCAGTGATTTTGAGGACGATGATAATAAGATAATGATTATGGTGAGGGAGGTGACGACGATGACTAAGATGATGGGGGCGGTAATAAAGATGATAATGATATTAAGTTTTAATGATGACGAGTAGGGCGACAGCAACGACGATGATGATGATGATGATGATGATGATGATGATGATGATGATGATGATGATGACGAGAACAGAAGACAGTGATAGTAAAGTTGGTGGCGGCGAATATGATGTTGTCGATGCTGAGCATAATAAAGATGAATTGCGATGTTGACTGTGATGTTCACTGTCATGGTAATGGTGGAGAGATTATCGCAGTTAAAAAAAGACTATCGCAGCCAAGGATGCGACAATCACACAAACTGGGGGAAAAAGTTAAACTTAAAGTTGTACATTAAAATGATTTTAATAACACTTTTGTATGTACTATAATAAAGTCGGTTGAAGCATATTCTACAGCTGGGCCGAGTTGTTCAAAGCTGGGTTAAGATAACCCAGGGTTAGTGCGAGATTTGAATTCAGATTTGAAAGCTTAAATGCTTAAGCTTAAATGCTTAAAAGCTTAAATGCTTTTGAACACAAGAAAAAGAAACCCGGATTAAATTTAACCCCGGGTTAAGCGCTAATCGGCCTTCGAACAACTGGGCCCTGGATTTTAAATCATAATATAGTTTAATTAACTTTTAATATTCACTAACCACATCAAACCTGCTAGTTTGTTGTTATCAAGGAAACGTGCAGGGTCGCGGTCCCGTAAGAAGCGCTAAAATACGAATTCAGTATGCGTTTGTTTGAAATGGCAGTACCGCAAGAATTCTCATGAAGATAACTCACTCAACACAACAGCCTTTGAACGTCGAAAACACAATTCATTCTCTAAAGGAAGCTAATTCCTTTTTTTGTTGCCATGATGACCGAACAAGAGTGAGGAACACTTACGGAACCCTCGCTGGTTTTACAGTGAATTATCTGTTTCAGTGTGGGACGCTGATTCTCATGTTCGTTTAACATAGAGTCCTTTTAATACAGCTTTCACTGTATTTTTGTATAGTGAAAAAAACTTTAAGGTCATCGTAAGTTAATTTTGCACCACTAGATATGGATATGAAAATGCTTGGTGGAGCTAAATCTAACAGCAAACTGGAAAAGTGGCAGGTACTTTACATTTTCTGACCGGCGTATATTCCGGTTGCCATCATAAAATTAACTACTAATTTGCTATCCCGTAACACTTCAGTTTTCCGAGAATGTGGTAACCCTCCTCATCTTTTACCCCTTTGGCCCCGTTAACGCCTGTATCTCCAAACCTGAGCTGTTTGACTGGCAGTTGTGTTTTATCAGTAAGGAGACCGCTGTCTTCACGCCACACTGCGTCATTCATACTGCAGTTGCACTGTTGACTTGAGTCTGCACATGAGTTGGTCATTCCGCATGCGCACTTGTTACTTCCAGGCGAGGCTCCTCCCCAATACGTCATCTTCTTAGATTCACGTGACACCCACCAACCATAAGACTCGCGCAATATCAGAGAACCATAGCATTCATATTTGATAAACTGTTCACAGTGCGAAGAGGCGTCGGTAAGGCTCGCCAACTGAGACAAACTTGCTCCTGAGTAATGAATACTTCGTGAGTATGAACCTCTGTCTTCATATCCGTCCACAAGTATTCTGCTTTCACTGTCGTGACTTATAACTGTCACGCCAACTCCATTTTTGTCACTCATGTCACAATACACAGTAAACGGTGCCAGTCCTCCTTCGCCATCTGGGTCAATGACGTAACTTCCGCTCGAGTTGCTTACGTATTTACGTATCACAGAACATGATAAAGGAGTAAAAGGAGTCTTTATTTCCACACGTGCCTCGATTGTTGACAGAGCATTGCTTGCTCTACAAGTATACGATCCAGCGTGTGAATTTTTCACACTGGGAATAACCAGCGTGTTGTTTTGTAGAATATTAGAATCAGTCGGAAGTGATGGCTTACCATGGAATAACCACGTGACTGTAGGGCTCAGGTCACTTTTGGCTACACATGGAAGTCGCACAGGCGACCCAAGAATTGGAGTAATCTGCTTGGGAGAGCGAACTGAAAACTGCAGTGCTGAAAATATTACAGCTTGCACAGTTTCTTCCGCCTTTCCCAGAATATTTTCTGCTTTGCATATGTAGACACCCCCGTCCTGTTTTTGTACATTGTTGACTTTCAGTTCTGTAGTGCTAACCACAGCTTCTACAGGTAAATCACCGATCGATTTCGACCACGTGATATTGGGCTGCGGCTGACCAGTAGCACTGCAGGTAATGCTGATGTTTTGCCCCTCCTCAGCCATCACTCGACTGGAACTCTTTGATAACCGCGGAGCAACTGTTGAAATACAATCAGATAAAACAATAAATAAAGATAAATACTTTAGAATTGACCACCATAAAAGAGAAAATTTGATTCTGTTATCTATTATTATCATTATTATGATAAATATTTTTATTAATGCACCCTTGTTTTGAATTTACGGTGACAATAAAAGATGATGTATATTTTGACGCCGTAAGATGTCAAAAGACGAGACTTCATGAAACTCACACTGCACTGTTAATTGTACCGAAGCGTTGACACTTCCCAAAAGGTTTTCTGCACTGCAGCTGTAAATTCCGGTATCTTCTGGTTCGAGATTCTTTAAAATAAGAGCCTTACTGGGTCCCGTCACGTGACGCCCAGCCGGAAGTGGCAATCTTTTCCTTGACCATGTGACCCTCGGTGGTGGATATCCGTCTGCTTCACACTTCAAAACTGCCGTTTGGCCTTCTTTGACTGTTTTCTCAGCAGCAGCTTCGATGAAAAAGGGAGCGGAAATTGACTTTCCCTGTTCGCCTTTCTGACCCTTCTCTCCTCGAGGGCCTCTTGGTCCGGGAGGTCCCACATCCCCCTGTACTCCCGAATCTCCCTTTATTCCCAATGGTCCTGGAATTCCCTGGGGGCCATGCTTCCCAGGGCTTCCCCGTCTTCCCCGACGGCCCGGTTTTCCTCTCGGCCCTGCACGGCATAGCACGTGATCTTTAGCGCAGATTTGGTTCTGTAGAAGTCTCAGCTCGTCTCGTATCAGCAGTTGTACATAGGAGGGTGTTACTGTGGGACTAACTTGCCTGCTCGGTGATGAGCTTGCACTTCTCTTTCGTCTTAAATCGCTCTCTTTGTGACCTGAACAAGTATAATCAGGAAAACAAAAATTATAGTACTAAGTGGGCCTAGAAAGTAAACTCGAGACTAAACCTGTAATGTGACAATGGTCGCATGGAAAATATCGCACTCAAGGGTCGTGGGAAACTTTCCTCTTTTGATTACAGAGAAGGAATAGATTCACCTTTTGTTGTAGTCGATTTTTTTGTCACAAAACCGGTTTTATATAGGGCTCAAATTCATTGCCTGCCATGAAACAACACATCCTAGCCTACCTTTGTTTTCCTGTGTTTTCTCGCCTGCCACTCCTCCCCACTGTTTAAAATTCTGTTGCACTTTTCTCAGTATTTCAGTCTCCATCTTATCACAGACTGTCGTTGTTTGTGAAATCAACCTTTGTTGCTCCTGAATCCTGAATTCCACATGAATTAGTGCGACACAGCACGCGATGGATAGCAACAACCCAGACGTGCAACACAAACGATCGAGTGATGTTCGTCCGGTCGTTTCTTGACGATCTGTTTTTCCTTGTTTCATTGCGGTTTGCTCTCTACTCCCTACTAGAGTCAAGGCTTTAGCAATTAAGTGCTACTATATCGGTTATGTGCGAGATTAAATTGCTGAGAAAACTGTAACCATTCATGGGGGAGAAATGAGATACTAGACTGATGATAATGAAGGGACAACTTCCTGTTATGTTTTGAGGGTGTGGCTGGCTCAGACCCAATGTAAACCGCTCTTCGTTGATCGGCTGTAATAACTGCGAGATTAATCGTCAAGTTTATGTTGTCAAAGGTCATATTGTCAGAAGGCATATGTATAAAAACATTGTTTATTATTTGTTGAGTCTTAGTAAATCAGGATTTTAGTTTGAAAATTTCCGTTCAAGAAAAACATCATGTTCTATTACGTGTGAAATTTTTACTGCTTTATGTTGGCCGTTTGAGAGATGCGAATTTTTTTAAACGGAGTTGATACACTTTTTCGTAGTAGAGCAGATGTCGACAGGAAATAAAAGTTGCCATAAAAGTTGAACGTCTTAGTTAACATTATCTGCAGATTATTCAGCCACGTGGGATCTGAGGACGCTTTGAATTGAATTTCAAAGGACTTTTAAGGTTTACTACTAGGTCATGGATCAGCCATCTTGCAGGCTTTTTGCTTGCGCTCGCTCCACTACCGCCGTTTTCGGACGCTCGATTTCACCAGCTGTACTAGGCCCATATTCACTGAGTGTTGAAGGATCTTGTATCGTCCAGTATCGCACCATGTAAGGGAATCCGAAATCCCGGAAATTTCTGGTAGGGGAGGTAGAAAATTTTGGAAATTTGAAAATATTGGATCGGGTCAGAGTTAAAAAATTTAAAAAATTTGAAGTGAATATTTTGTAGACAAATACAAGATAATCCACCGCCACAACAAGGTGCCTCTGATCCCATTAGCGGACTAATGGGTTCTGGTACCCTGAGGCCTCTATCGTCCTTAAAACTTTTAATGTACCTTTTAATATACGTCGTCTAGAAAAGCACCTCATTGAAATCGCTTTATTAATTTTATTAATACAGTGGAAGCTCGATGTAAAGAAGGGCCAAGGGACTGGAAAAATATCTTCGCTATAATGAGGTTTCGTTATATCGAGGGTCTTTTCCGGGGCATATATTTTACTATTACTGAGGCGCGGAATATCATTCGTCCGTTCGTTATGTAGGGCGGTTCGTTATATCGTGGTTCCATGTATACTCTTTGCATAAAAATCGTAGCCATACGTTCCAGTATTTCTCGGGGGGTGCCATTTTTTGATGACATGTTGGGCATTTAGTAACTTCATCCAAAATACAGAAAACAGCTTATTTAGATACAAACTTGCATTGTTTAATTACTATAAGTATACAATATTAGAAAGGCAACAATTCTTTACGTCATTTTTGATAGCCTGTGTACAGACTCCCCCTCCCCTCAGGAAAAATCCTGAGGGGAGGGGTTCTGTACACAGCCTAATTTTCGACTACTCCATATTACTTTGAGGGGTGAAACTGAAAAAAGTCAGCGATGGGATTTAAATTAAAAGTATCCTGCTACTTAGCGATTTCTATACAGTCCAACCACCTCTCGATTCAAAGTAACAAAATCACTTTTCCAACTAAGGCACTATGGTAAGAATCTGTTGTCAGTTAAAAAAGTTCACATAAAGCTATTTGTTTCGAGAAAATCAAAAGATTTGTTTATAGCTTAGCTTATTACTGTAAGTTAATTTACACCCCTTGTTGCGGATGTGTTCATATACGGGTAAATCTAACAGCAAAACTGGAGAAGTTGCGGGTACGTCACATTCTTTTAAGGACAAAAATTCCGAATCCAAAGTTATGAAACTAGCTATTCACTTGCTATTCCGTAACATCTAAGTTTCCCCAGAGTGTGGTAGCCTTTCTCATCATGACCATCGTATTCTGTTGTGTCTCCAAACCTGAGCTGTTTGACTGGCAGTTGTGTCTTGTCCGTGAGAAGACCGCTGTCCTCACGCCACACTGCATCATTCTTATCACAGTTACACCTTTTACTGGAGTCTGCACATGAATTGGTCATTCCGCATGCGCAGTTGTTGCTTCTTGGCGAGGCTCCTCCCCAATATGTCATTTTGGAAGAGCTACGTGACACCCACCAGCCATGTGGGTTGTCGAGTAGGAGAGAATGATAACATTCATATTTAATGAACTGCTCACAGGTAGTAGACACGTCAGTAAGTTTTGCCAGCTGCGAAAAACTTGCTCCGGAGTAATGAATATTGCGTGAGTATTCACCAACTCCACCATATCCGTCCACAAGTGTTCTGCTCTCACTATCATGACTTATGACTGTCACGCCAACTCCATTTTTGTCGCTCATGTCACAATACACGGTAAACGGTGCCAGTCCTCCGTTCCCATCTGGGTCAATGACGTAACTTCCGCTGGAGCCGTTGGCGTACTTCCGTACCACTGAACAGGAAGAAAAAGTCGTAGTCTTTATTTCAACGCTTGCTTCGATTGTTGACAAAGCATTGCTTGCTCTACAAGTATATGATCCGACGTGTGCATTTGTGACGTTGGGAATAACCAGTGTGTTGTTTCTGAGAATGTTAGAATCAACGGGCAGTGATGGATTTCCATCCTTTAACCACGTGACTGTAGTGCTCAAGTCGCTCTCGGTTACACAGGGAAAACGCACAGGATACCCCAGCTTAGGAGTAGTTTCCATCGGTGGACGAACTTTAAATCGCAGACGAGAGAAAACCATCAATTGAGCTGTACCCTGAACATTTCCAAGAATATTCTTTGCTCTGCACACATAGGTTCCACCGTCCTCTTTTTTCACGTTGTTGATTTTCAGTGCTGTAGAACTAACCACAGCTCCGACAGGTAAATCACCGATCGCTTTAAACCACGTGATATTAGGCTGAGGCTGACCAGTTGCACTGCAGGCAATGTTGATGTTTTGCCCCTCCTCAGCCATCACTCGACTGGAACTCATTGATAACCGCGGAGCAACTGTTGAAATACAACCAGAGAAAACAAATCAATGAGGATGAATGCTTTAGAATTACCACGTCTTGAAGAGACGATTTGCTTGGATTACTCTAGTGCCTACTTGTTGTTAAAATTCACCGATATTATAAAGGCAAGGATTGGCAAGTTATCTTTTGACACGAATACAAGCGTATTCGAAAGTTTTCTGAAGCACTCGCTATTTTGAATGTAACGTGACAATTAACACGACTCCGCAATCGTGAAGGGTCATCCAAAAGACGCGATGTCGACATCTAAGGTCATAGAAGACCAAAATCATCTTTTAAGATCAGAGCGTTACTGGGTCCAGTCACGTAACGCCCAACGGGCAAAGCCGATCTTTTCCTGAACCACGTGACCCTCGGTTGTGGATATCCGTCAACTGTACATTTCAAAACTGCTCTTTGGCCTTCTTTGACTGTCTTTTCAGAAGGAGCTTCGATGAAAAAGGGAGCGGAAATTGACTTTCCCTGTTCGCCTTTCTGACCCTTCTCTCCTCGAGGGCCTCTTGGTCCGGGTGGTCCCACATTCCCCTGTACTCCTAGATCTCCCTTTATGCCCATTGGTCCTGGAATTCCCTGGGGGCCATGCTTCCCAGGGTTCCCGGGTCTTCCTCGGCGGCCCGGTTTTCCTCGCGGTCCTGCACGGCATAACACGTGATCTTTAGCGCAGATTTGGTTCTGTAGAAGTCTCAGCTCGTCTCGTATCAGCAGTTGTACATAAGAAGGTGTTACTGTGGGACCACCTTGTCTAATGGTCGATGAAACACTTCGCTTTTGCCTTAAATTGCTCTCTTTGTGACCTAAACGAGTATCAATGAAAATAAAAGAAACATATTAACTACTCAAGCGACTTCAAAAGCGGTTTAATTTCTATCAACAAACGTCACCCTTCGCTATATCGACCGAGTGTCGACCGACTATCGACCGCTATATCGACCGATAGATCGGTCGACACTACCTACAGTAAACATGATCCGCTAAACCTACCCGTGTTTTTCTGCCAGGTTTTGTCTCTCAGATCTCCCCAACGTTTGTAATTCTGCTGAAGTTTTTGCAGTATTTCAGTCTCCATCTGATCATAGATTGTCGTTGTTTGTGATATCAGCCGTTGTTGCTCCTGAATCCTGAATTCGACATGAATAATTGCGACACTACAAGCGATGGACAGCAACAACCCAGACATACAACACAAGCGATCGAGCGGTGATCGTCTTCTCTTTTCTTTGCAATCTGTTTTTTCTTGCTTCATTTTCGAAACTGTACACATTACATGTCTTAGAGTCTTCAGGCTAAAGCAATTGAGTGTAACTATTATTGATTTGTGTGCGAGGATAAAATTACTTGTAAAACTGTGACCAATCAAAGATAGAAATGAGGAAACAACTTCCTGTTATGCTCTGGGTGTGATTGGCTCAGACCCAAGGAAATCAACCTTCAAGGGTCAGCTCACCCCGCTCACCTGATGCTTCACGTGGTGGTTTTTGTGTAAATAACCATGATTACGTTTTCTTTAAAGGAAATAAAGGGAGATGTAAAGAATCAAGCATAAGAGTAGTTAATTTAACAAATCATAGATGCTTCCAAAATTATGGAGCCAATAAACTGCTTGCTTAATTGTTTGATTTGTTTTTTCAATTAACCTAAGAGTAATCAGCATCAAATTTCTCCTTGTATTATCAATGCTTTGTAAGACAGAGTGGACATGAGAATTACGGACATGATCACACAACTAAGATGAATTTGCTTGATATTTTATCAACTTCTCCCCACTATTTCTGTTGGAAATGAATAGGGGCAACAAATGAGAATTCAAATTTTGATGTTAGTGTTTAAAGGGTTAAAAATCCAAAAAATTAAATGCCGGGGTGTATCTTGTGACCAATAAGTCACAATGGACCAGACTTTTAGAGCACTTGTTTGCGTAACTGGAAACCAACTTTAGGATTGGCGATCAAACTTTCACTAAAAAGGTCAGATTCCTAGGAGGTATATAGCTATAAGCCTTCGATTCTGTCGATAGGATCCGTTCCAGATGAACATGTTCTGTGAAAACCAAGCCTTTTCATGTTTCATTCTATTGCGAATAGTCGAGAATAGTTTAACTAGAGCTGAAATGATTTTCCTCTGAGAAAAACAGCAAAATAGCCGTGTATATGGAAGTGGGTGTAAAATATATTTCTTCCTTAAAAGCGCGCGCAGACTTTTCTTTAGGGTTCGGAGGATCACGTATTAAAGATTCGGAGACCATAAGAAGATTTGCGCCCATTCTCATACACTGCTCTAGCCTGAGTATCAGGCCTTCCTAAGGGGCTAGGGGAGAGGAGATTTTAGATGAGGGAGGGGGGAGGGGGAGAAGAGAAAGGAATCGCTTCCATCTTTCCCCTTTTTCCGCAGAAACGCCTGATACTCAGGCTAACACTGCTCTTTCCAAGCAAGCCAGAATCTGAGCGATTCTGTCAGACGGGATTGAGGTTATAAAGACGCCAAAAAAAAAATCGTTATGTGCGAAAAAAAAATTGCTTTTGTTTTTCGCTTCTACCTTTTCAGCCATTGTTGCGTGACACATTGCGTGAACTTTATGTTACCAATCACTCATTGTTTTAATAACGTTGATCTTCTCACCCTTGCTGTAGGAATTTCATTTTTTCAAGACAAAGAGAGCGTTGTTTAGTCGACGATTGCATTTTTTGTGTGTTAACCACTTTAAAAGACATGTTATCCAAATCGTCCCATGGACTCGGCTGCTCGCTCAATGCTTTTAGTTTCTGTTTATCTTCTGTTACTCTTCTGTTTGGCTTGGGTGGATTTATGCGGGTAGAAATAAAACTCGCCGATCATGATGCAAAACTTTATGCTGTGCAGCAACAGTGCGTTCAACAAGCTGCGAATTGTTCTCCGCATTTTCAAGGTAAGAAAGTAAAGCTATAAATATATTTTGCCATATTCAAATAAAGAGAAAGTTGTTATGATCATTCATTTTATGATCGTTTTGTTCTGGTTTTCGTTCTTAAGGCACAAGAGGGGCTTTCATTTCTAGGGGATAAACTTCCACAATTCGCACAGGGACTTGCCACCGGAAGGGGTTTGGATTATTAGCCTCTCATCCTCAAAAGAGAGGAGAGATCCACCGCAATTTTGTTTGTTTTTTGCCCCTAATAACATAATCGTTTGGGAAAGCGGTTTGCCAATCTTATAGCTGGGAACACCTGAGCTCCAGAGGGTCAGGTAAAACACAGGACTTATTTCATTATAGCCTGTTCACAGACCCTCTATTTTCTCTTCAAAGTCCCTTGAGCGCGCGTGATAACATATAAACCGCGGGGATTTATTGACCGCCAGCGCAAGGGAGTAGTGGTAGGGGAAGAAGAAAATAGACGTTGTTTATTTTTCTTTCTAGCGCTCCACGCTCGTTTTCTCGCGCGAGCGAAGTGAGCGCGCTTGAAAAGAACGAAAAGAAAAATAAAACAACGTCTGTATACAGGCTTATTTCATTATGGCGTCAGCTGGCTGGGAAGGTGACTAGAACTACTAAAGTTGATTTCTGTTTTTCTTTCACGGCGATTTAAACAACAATAGACCAAAAATTGCAGAACAAAACAAGAAGGATTGTACCTTCCTATGCAGACGTTCTTAGGGCTTTGTCTCGCGTTCCTTAATAAATTGACGAAGCCCAATAAGAAAGTTTGCGTGGGAGGCTAGAACGATTCATGTGGTGGTGGCAGCTAAATGCGCCATCGCGTCAAAAGTTTTATTTGTCGCCTTTTCTTTCTAAGCAGAGTCCGATTTTCAAACCACTGAGATCATTAGTAGGGAACGTCGCTCTCAATCGGGATTTCCAGTTATCAACGGCAGCAGAAGGGACATGGACGCTAACGCAGCTAAAAAACTGAGAGAAATAAGAGAGGAAATCAAGGAGAACCTTAAGAAAATGAAAGAGGAGAATACGCGAGTCTGCAGGACTGCTCTTGGCTCGGTAAGAAAGACGAGTAACAAATTAAACACGAGATATCCAAGCACCGAGAAAGCTGTTTCATCTGATATTCAAACACCGGTACCCGAAAAGTAATATAACAAATACGAGAAGGGGTGTTTTATCTGATATCCAAACACCAGGATGTAATATAACAAACACGGGAATGAGTGTTTCATCTGATATCCAAACACCGAAAAGTAATGTAACAAAAACGAGAAGGGGTGTTTTATCTGATATCCAAACACCGAAAAGTAATATAACATACACGAGAATGAGTGTTTCATCTGATATCCAAACACTGAAAAGTAATATAACAAACACGAGAAGGGGTGTTTTATCTAGTATCCAAACACCAAGATGCAATATAACAAACACGGGAAGGAGTGTTTCATCTGATATCCAAACACCGAAAAGTAATATAACAAACACGAGAAGGGGTGTTTTCATCTGATATCCAAACACCGAAAAAGTAATATAACGAAAAGGGTTTTTTTTATCTGATATCCAAACACTGAAAAGTAATACAACAAACACGAAAAGGGGTGTTTTATCTGATATCCAAACACCGAAAAGAATTTAAAATTCCAAGAAGGAGTGGTTCATCTGATATCCAAACTTCGAGAGTTAATGTAACAAACATGAGATGGAGTGTTTCGTCTGATATCCACACACCAAGAATGTTACGGAAGTAAACACCAGAATGAGTGTTTCATCCGAGATCCAGACACAGAAGAATAAGTATAAGGCTATGTTCATCCGGCACTATATCGGACAACTTTTCTTGGCGCCATGTGAAAAAGTGTGAACACCTTTCCTATATGTGACTTTCCACTTTTTTTCTCCCATGTTTAGGTCACACTTGGAAATTTCTTCAACAGAATCAAAAGTTAGTTAATGAGAGGGGCTGAGATTGGTATTATTCGTAATAAATCCGTGTAGGAGGTTTTTATAAAGACGGTCCCAATCGATGATTGTCCCTATTATAATTAAAAGTCTTTACGGAAGCGCCTGGAGGACCGCTTGGGGGCTCAAAGGGAGAAAAAGGAGATAAAGGACTCAAGGGGGACAACGGGGTCACCGGGGCCCATGGAGCTCCGGGTGTAAAAGGACAAAAGGGTGAAAAGGGAACTCAGGGGATTCAAAGTTCCCAATCCCCTCGGGTCGTGGTATATCCGCCAATATTGACTGTGAAGGAGAATCAGACTGCAAGATTCCATTGTGTGGCTTCTGGTAGGTACAAACTGAATGATGTTCTTAATAAGAGTGGAGGGAAAAGCTACGATAAGTTGTAATAACTGCTTAGGTACAGTCACTGCTTCCCTGTGGTGCTGTGTAATGATCTGTACAAAGTGATTCTATCTTCTGAGTCTGTTGATGAAATCCTAAAGTGTGACCATTCAAATGCAAGCTACTGAGCAGTACTTTCCTGTGTTACTGTTGATTATGCTGTACAAGGTGGTTCAAACTTTCGAGTCTGTGGATGAAATCCTAAAGTTTGACTATTCAAAGGAGAGCAACTTAGCTGCACTTTCCGCTGGTACTACTTTCATAGCTTACAATGTGGTTCTAACATTTGCGTCTGTCGACCAAAAATGGTGCTTTTCCGCTATTAGCCTGATGCTGCTTGTTTGTTTTTGTTTTTAATTTTAATGTACTTTTTGTCTTCTTCATCATCGCCATAGGTGACCCAAAACCCATCATAGCGTGGCGTAAAGATGGCACAGTGCTGGGGAATAGCCAGAAATACTCAGTAAGACGGAACGGCGCCCTGATTATCACGCATGCTCAGTACAATGACAGTGGACGTTATGAATGTGTAGCTCGGACAAACTGGGAACAAGCGGATGGTTTCACGAATCTTATGGTCAAAGGTAGGCGTAAGGAACGGGAAAAATGAAAGGAAACGCTACTATTTGACATCAGTAAAATCCAACTAGTGGTTTATTATCAATGCTGCGTTCTCATTTATTGAGCTACTACTGGGCTATATGTTGTAGCCCAGCAGTAGCGAAAAGCAAAAGTCTAGCTTTAACTAGCTAAAAAAAGACCAACTATTTGGATTTTACTAAAACAATTATTCCTCTCGCCCTCATGGCCTCAGAGTCAATAGCCCATTAGGCCGACTCAGAGCCCATTCGGGCTCCAGGAATAATTGTTAAATATACCCATGCTACCGTCGTTATTTACATGGTTTCAAGTTTCAATTACCACTTAGGCACGTAGTGATCTATTTTCTCCCCTGATTGAGCAAGAAGTCAAAGAATCCACCGAGCAGACCACTGAAGGATGAATGGAAGAGGAGAGAATGTTGAAATTGAAATAAACCAAACAAACGATTTAATTAGTTTCAATATATCGTACGAACACTCTTATTCTTCGAACATTTCAACTTCAGTAAAAATAAAACAAACTGCGGTAACAAACATGATGAAACAACGCTTGTCGTAAAAAACCAAGATTTTAAAAACTTGACGTTTCGTATGTATCAACATACATCTTCAGAAGTGACGTTAAAAAGATTACAGTAAAATTTAAATATCTAGAAAAACACTGGATACTAATAAACAGGTAAAAACAATAACTAATGGCAACAAATGATGATGACAGACTCAATTTGAAGTCTAGTACAGCCCTTCTCTATTTATTCTTGTAATCTGATATTAAAAACTTAAGAATAATATTTTAATATTGAAATATAAGAGCGAAAAGATAGTATTATGTTATTTGGTCTGTTTTTAACAGTGTAAATTTGTCACTTATCCCATATTATCATGATCACAGTATCTCCTCGCATCAAACGACCCTCTCAACCAGTAATATACGTCACGAAAGGAAAGGACGCCTTCTTCCCAAAGTGCATTGCTTTTGGCTATCCCTTACCAACCGTCACGTGGTCTCGAGTCTTCTCCAGTTTCCCGGAAAGACGCAGCTTCACTAGTGATGGCAATCTCACCATTGTCAACACTACCACTGGGGATTCTGGGATATACGTATGTGAAGCTGTGAATACCATTGGCAGAGCCCGAGTCATGACGCAGTTGGTTGTTCTCACGGTACCAAGCTTCACAGTGAAACCGCCAGAGATTCTCACTGTTAACACAGGTGAAAATTTTCGCTTAAGTGAAAGTGCATCCAGCGAAGAAGGGTTACTCGGCTACACTAGCTACCCTAGGCGAGCCAACTTATATGCATTTCCCTACAAAGCATGTTTAACCGTTAATACAAGAAACAAAAAGTTGGCTCTGCTAGAAGGGTGACACACCTAGCCGGGTCACCGTTTTACGATTGTAGAGTCACGCTCCTAACTTGGCGTCTTTTCTTCAAATAAACACTTTGGCTGGTCACAATCGGAGCATGAACTAGCGCTGTTATCTCAGGCAAAGGGGTCGACATTGCGTTTCCCTATAAACAATCTCTAAAGCTGACTCGGCTGGGAGGGTGACCCTCTTTCCCGGGAAAAAATCCCCCCAAAAATCGACCCTGCGCAGTGTGAAACTCTTGTCCTTACTCCACCCTTACTTAAGGGACGTGCATGTTTCCACAAACAAACTAAATTTATGCAATCCTTTCCAAATTTCAGTATGTCTTCTAAGTTTGTGTACAGTTATAGTGATTTATCCGCAAAAATATTTCAAGTTCATGAGTTGTCTCCTTAATTATACTGCAAGAATGAATAGGGCAAAAGCTTTAGAAATTCACGTGTTTATCTTGTCTGACAGGTGATATACTGAAGGTTAATTGCAGCGCACAGGGTAACCAAACCTTACGTATCACTTGGAGTCGTGAGTACGCTGAGCTTCCTGTGCGAAGGGCGACTGTGGGCGGAGATGGGACCCTGACCGTCACTCAGCTGGTTCCTGAGGATGCTGGGAAATATTTCTGTACTGCAAGTAGCGTTGGTGGTGCCATCAAGATAACCGCTGACATGAACCTCATTGTCTTAAAGAGTGAGTGGCATATTTCAGTTTTTGGTTTGTGACTAGACAGCTTATGGACGTTTTGCGTAAGTATACTCAGAAATTTTCCAGGTTTTTTTTCGAACCTTCCAAGTCGGCGGTACCCTACTTGTCAATGTTTATTTTCTCTCGTGGCATGGGCTCCCGCGTGCCGCTATTGAGTGCGAAGTACCTGCGTCGGGTTCCGAAGCTACGGGCGGAGCGAAACCGAGTCACTATAGAACTTGACCGAAACCAGAAACCCACGCCTGACAAGTCCCGCGCGCATAAGCTAGGGTAGTCGTGCGTATCCTCGACATACAGTGAAGATGAAAGCCCGGAAGTGGGAGATGAAGCGTGGCAGAGCGAAAACGTTTCCGGAAAATGATTACTGTTCCGAGCCTTTCTTCTCTAAGAAAATAGGAGTTCTGGGCTATCAGCAGTCCCTTCGCATATTACTCAACAGGAGCCAGTCGCATACGATGTAACTTAAGACGTTAAAATATAACTAACGTCTGCTGTCGGTCAATTTCAAGTAAAACTTCACCTATATGTATGAGTAACTGGGTATTAAAGTTAGTTTTTTTTTTCAACATTGTTACTCACGTTCAATACCTCAGTTGTGAACAAAACAGGGTTCTTTTTCCATGTCAAAGTTGCATCAAACCAACAAGCCGATCCATATGCTCCTAATGTGTCCCGGAAAGTTTTCGTTTCTTTGAAGAACGACTGTTAGTAGTTTGTGAAAGTTAATTAGTCGCTTAAGAGTTGGTTTTGTCTATAATAATCTGACTTTAAATCTAGACTGGTTACATGTACAGATAGGTTCAATTGTACAATTAAACATAACAGTTTATACAGTTTTTTTCTATATTTAGAGGGCTTAAAGCGAGGCATTTGCCCCATTCCACTCCCGGTTGATTCATGTGAGGGGGAGACTGATGACGAATGCACGCTTGACTCTGATTGTTTTGGTGACAAGAAGTGTTGTTCGGATTCATGTCAAAAGCTCTGTGTTCAACCGCCACAAAGTAAGTGTGATTTATTTAGTAGGCAGGCACGTACTAGTGCTCAGGCTACCCCGTCTAAGTATTTCTGGTGGATGAAATTTTTTTTGATCTTATGACTTAAGTAGACTTGCAGTAAGATGGCTTATGACTAGTATCCACCCTTTACGCAAAGAAACGCAGAGAAGTTTTCTGTTTTGTCAAAATAAGCCCTCAGAACTAACATGGTCATTGTGAATAGTCTAGAAACCATGGAAGCTTTGATTGGCTAAAGGGTTTCAACGGATCCTATCTCGCGTTAACGGCGCGTTAACGTAAAATCGAGCGCTGAGCCAATCTCCTCCCCAACTCATCGCTTGAAGCAAGAGGGGGACGATTAAAAGAACGAGAACTGGGAACGAGGCTGGCGGGGAGCGTTAGCGCATAATTATTTCATTACGTCTCCCCTTTTAAGCGCCTGCTGAGACTCAGGATACGGACATCGTTTGTCCTGGCCTCTTGGTTCAGTTTTTAATGCTAATTTCATTTCTTCTCAAAGCCAAGGATTGCGTCGATATCCACTACGCTGGCTTCCAAACCAGTGGTGTATATTCGATAAACCCTGATCGAAGAACAGAATTCAAGGTATACTGTGATTTGGAAACAGATAATGGTGGTTGGATCGTGTTTCAAAGACGTCAAGATGCGTCTGTCAGTTTCCATCGCACGTGGGATGATTATAAACGCGGTTTTGGCGACCTCAAGGGGAATTTCTGGCTTGGAAATGATAAAATTCATCGCATCACCGCGGCCAACAGGATGATCTTGCACATTGATCTCCAAGACTGGAATGGGGTTAAAGTTTTCGCTCGCTATGAAAATTTCAAAATTGGCGACGAAAAGTCGAGGTACACGTTAACGGCCAGCGGTTATAACGGTACATCCGGGGATTCTCTGAGTTACCATAACAACATGATGTTTAGTACAACGGATATAGACAATGATAAATGGGAGTCTGGTAGCTGCTCAAATGATCTGACCGGGGGATGGTGGTTCAATGATTGTCACATGTCGAATTTGAATGGACAGTATTTGGGCAACACCAAGGCGTATAATGGCGTAGGATGGGCGCGCTTTAAACACAATCTGTCTTTGAAGTTTGTGGAAATGAAAATGAGACCACTTTCGTTTGAAAAGGAAAGAGAAGACGAATAAGAAACGTAAACCCGCTAATTGCCGGCTTTAGAGTGACGATAGTGACTTTAAGATGACACATATAGAATTCCAAACATGGTAATATACACAGGAAACCTATGTTTAAATTCGTAAAGCAAGCGTTAGCAAATATGCACAGGGTACCTACAGTTGAGAAAAAAGAGCCCTTTGCTTTTGTTGCCCTAAGTATCTTCAAAATTCGTCCGGCGCGTCTGAACTTATTCTAAGAAGCATACGCAAAAAGGCGTCTAATTGTTACAAGGTTTTTGGACCTGATCAATGGAATAATAAACATCAATGGTAATAAAATAATTAGCCGCAATAATGAATTTAACGATTATGATTCATATTTCCTAACCCAGCGATAAAATAGGGCCGCAAGAGTTAACGCAAAGACTTAATTTGACTGCGATAATTAACAAAACAGGAGTTTAATACTTCATGTTTGAAGTTCTTGAAAACAACGAAAACTTGTGCACCCCAAAAGGGAGCCTTATGTGGGTGTGGCTCAGCTGAGTCAAGCTAAATATGACCCTTGACAGAAATGTATGACACTAAATGTAATACAGTGGAACCTCGATAAAACGAACCTCTATATGACGAAGTCGTCGATATAACGAACGATTTTCTTTTCCCCAGTAATAGTAAAATATATAAAAAAGAACCTTGAAATGACGAAACCTCCTGGAAGCGAACAGTCAGTCCCTTAGCCCTTCGTTAATCGACGCTCCATTGTATACATGTTTCATTGCTACTATCAGCGTGTGAGGCTTAATATGTGGTAAAGACCACTGACACGGTGTGTCGCTTCACTCAGTGACATACCAGCTTCGGTAAAATTGTATGTTAGCGTTGTGTCGTTAACTTCCTCGGTGATAAAGCGATTTTCTCATGACCTTGAAATGAAAACGCGCGAACGAACCAGAAACAATAAACGAACGGAAATAGAGCGATTTGATTGGTTTATAGAACAGATACAAACGCGTGTGGCTTTTGGTTGGTTAAGCGAACGCTCGGGTGAAAAAACTTCATGCTCACGAACTTTCTAGAGATCTTTGACGTCATACTGCAACACGATTGGCCTATCGAACAATGGCTTCTCCATATTAGGGTTTCTTTGGCGGGAAAACGAAGAGTCCATGTTTTAATCTTTTCATTCATTGGCTGATACAAACAAATAACGAACACGTACCGAAACCATTTTTCAAGGTCATACCAAAATCGCTCTACCAAAATCTGGATTTCACTCCCCCAAAAAAGGAGACGCCTCATTCACATAACTGCGCCTCCAGTTCGGAGAATCAAAGTTTTTTTCACTTGGAAGCAGGTCAATTAAATCGATCTTAACTGACGTCTTGTTTAGAGAGGTACCGTAAATAAGCCCCAGGGTTTATATTTTTCAAAGGCCCTTTAAGGGGCTTATATTCGGAGGGAAATTTGCGTTTTAAATTCGATTGGGCTAGTCTTATAGTCGGAAAGAAATTAACCGTTTTTGCTTTGTTTTTCTTTGTATTTGAGGGCAATTTCCAAAGACAAGCCCCAGTGGGAGTAGACTACGAGCAGTCTCTCTTTTTTCTGCCGCTCGCGCGCGCGTGCACCGGAAGAAAAAGAGAGACTGCTCGCAGTCTACAGTGGGAGCTTATATTTGGAGGTGCGATTGAACGGAGGGTTTTTTGCGTTACGAGTTTGGGGGGCCTATACAAGGAGGGCTTATTCTCGGAATTTTACTGTATAGAGTTTTTTAGGTCCAGTTTGGTTCCCGGGGAGAGGGTACTCAACAAAGGTTTATACGGGGAGGTTCCGCCCCGAGACACAGGCCCTTACCCTTTTTTAATTATATAGACACGAGTGTTTTACTGGAAAATATACCACTCGTAAAATTCATAAAAACTACATCCGGGACCCGAGTGGTTTATTTTCCATAATCTCACAGTTTATCGATGACGTAATTTCGATAGTTTCTCTCCATTATTTTATAAATGTCTTTTTGTCTATATAATAAAAAGAACATTACACGGCGGCTTGAAGATATGAGTTTTATTTTCTCGTGGCAGAAACAATATTTTACTCACTCGCTGCGCTCGTTCGTAAAATATTGTTTTGCCACGCGAAAATGAAATTCATATCTTCGCGCTACCGTGTAATATCCTCTCTATATACCTTTTTTGACAGATAAGACACCCCTTTCGTAGTCTATGGCTAAATGGTACCCTTTTCATCATAAATGTACCGTCTTTGAAATATGAATAAATCACCGAACCTGAACGTTTTCTCGACTTTTTTACCGTAAAAAATGTATCTGTTAGTCCTTTTGGGCTTTTTTACCGACCGACATGACAGATTTCCCTACCCAGTCATATACTTAAACAAGTGAAATTCTAACCCAAAAATTGAATCATTAGGTGGGAACATGGTTGATAGGGCTTTGAAAACATCTTTTGTATGATGCATGTAGCGACAGTTTGACGATCTCTCCTATTTAATTAATTTCACCTTGATGAAAAATATAATTGTTAGATTCATCGTTACCTGGTAACCGAACACGAACGTCGTTTTCGCGCGGCTAGAATTGCCCACCATCTTGGACCTTGTGACGTGGCCATCTATATGCGCAGATCGTCATAATTTGTCACTGCGCATAGATGCCTCTTTACCTCGCAGAAGCGAAGGTTGAAGTTTGGTGTTGATTATTGTGAAGTTTATGCTTGAATTTTTGTCGTTTTTTTTTATTACTTGGTAAAAGAAAAGTACTTTCTTGAAGCAGATGGACCGCTGCAGCTCACCAGGGACCTTTATCTTGGTTTTTAGTGCGTGGATTTCATGTTGTGCCGCGTTTTATTTACCCGGTCTGGCTCCAGTTTCATATTGTGAAAAAGGGAAAGAAAGTAAAGCTTGTTTGGTAAGCGTTTTTTTAGGTAGTATCAGCAGTTTGATTATTGCTAATTTGAGACTCGTTCATCGACTGTTTGGTTTGATCTTCAGGGCACTGTAAGTGGCAAAAAACGAACTTACTAATTTAATTCGTTAACGTTGCAAATTGTTGCAATACGTATTCTGTTCACTGCAAACGACTTCGGTCAATTTCTTTAGAATTTTTATATTCGTTATCCAGTCTGCTTAACTCACAGCTTATCATGTCAACCCAGCTTACCTTATCTTATTTCCTAATATTTCAAGTAGAAAGCCAGCTTATCATTTTATATGCATGATTGCCTTATAATAATTATTAACCTTTCTTCGAGTGTGACAACCTCCATTTTTCTACCTCTACGTGTAAGCAACTTATTAAACTTATTTAATTTACAGAGGGAAATTCTTTCATATACGTCGCAGAAAGAGCAAAAATGTTTTTTGGAACTGTAGTTTCATGATTAAAGAAACCTAATTTATTTGAAGTTTCGTTTTTGATTAGTCAACCTATGTACATGTATAAATATTCCAAGTAGAATATATGGATGAACTACACGTGTAATGTGTGAAATTTAAATTCATAACTGTATTTCTAGGCAGTGAATTTTTTCGTATTAAACTTCTCTAGTATCCATGACTACCAGTACAGCACAGCAAAAATTATGTTGTCGTCCAGGTTTAAATCGAGTGGAGCAAAATCACATGAAAAACTCAGTCAATCAGATCCTGTGGTTGATTGTAGCTGATTGTTTTGTTATTATAGTTTTTTTGTTTTTTGCCTTTTGATAGACTTCGTAAAACATTTTTAAAATATGTGAAGTTTGCAGGAGGATGCATTAGTCTTAGAAAGAATTCATACATGTATATCCTACATGTACTACTCAGAACATGACCCCAGACTACTTTCGTAGGGAAGTAGATAAAAATAAGAGGTGAAAGAAATCTCTGACTGTGTGATTCCTGACCTGCTTGTTGTATTTACCCTGGGAACTTGAAATCTTAGTCACAGCCCTGGTGTTTTGTGGTACATATATATGCTACAGAAACCAGTTGAAACTCAGGCTGTCTGAGCCTAATGGCCTTGGCGTGCCTTAACCTTTTTTTGTTTTTAATTAAACATGAATAGGGATGAACTTGGTGTGGACCAAAATAGTGAAACAAAAGTCTCTGATGTGTTAGGAAGTTTTTCTTGCTGGTTTTTAAAGCCCCAAAGGAGCTATCATTTACATCAGCAAATAGTCGACCACTTAGGCAGCACATATCATGTCTGTTTTAGTGCCTCTTCACATGTGCCCAGTTAGCAGGATGAATTGAGAAATTTCAGCCCGATTTCCGAGATGAGAAAAGGCCAAAGATCCTGGGGAGGAGTTGCCGTGCCAAATTTGAGAACAAAGCAAACATTGCGAAACACAAAAATTTTAACTTTCGGGCCTATCATAGCTTCCGTAACTATTAAAGTATCACTACAGTTAAATGGGATGCTAATGATGTGGAAATTACAGCAGGCAATGCAAGATGATGTCATCCAGACCGCCAGAATTCATCCCACCGTTTATCCCGGTAACCGGGATGAAGTGTTCATTTGGCCAATTTCCTGCCCGCTTGGTGAGATCTTGGGAACCAAGCTAGCCCACCCTTTCATATGAACACATCAAAAATTTTACAAAGGATTTAGAAGGCAAGATCTTGGTAACCAGGCCAGCCCTGTCAACCGGGCTCATATAAAGAGGCCCTTAGAAACCTGTTTGCACAGACAGACATCTTTAGACTTAATAGTACTGTCCAGAACCAAATATACCCCCCACATGTTTAGATTTTATATTCAGACAAGTTACATCAACAACTCACTTCAAAGCTCACGTTTTTTTTTTACAGAATAAAATTGAGTTATTTGTCAACCGATTGGATTCTGTGGAGGCTGTGATTCCTTATGAATATTCAAGGTATTGGTTAACATGGATGTCATTATTTTGTTGTGTATCAGTCCTGTATTAATGAAGACGAGAACCCAAGCTGCAGTAAGCATCCTCTTCCTTGTGCATCCATTCCCTCAGCAAAACTAGCACGATGAATCCATTTTAATTATCCCACGCCAATATTATTGGGTAGTCTTTCCAGTTAGGACCTTTTAACTTGAGGCTGATTTTGACCCTAAAATTTCACACTGCGCAAAAATTGTATTCAGGTTCTTCTGCTTAGTGTAAACGTTTAATATTGACCTCAAGGTAAGGCTAGTTGACTTATTGATGTTACATTATACATGTATTAAAGAATTTTTGTGGAATGTTGGGATGGTTAAGACTCACCGGTAGTTACTTTGTTACATCACTATATCCAGTTTCAAATAGTATGATCAAAATGGAATCTTATTGAAGGCATTCTCTTTTATAATGAAAGATTTAATAGTTGAAATAAATAATGAAAAATAATTGAAAGATTTAAATGAAGTTGTTGTTGTTTGTTGCTAGACGTTTTGTTGTTGTTGTCGAAAGCTTTATGTATATGAATATCGCTACACCCGTAGTCTTACATGTATTTGTCTATTAATTTAATCCTTTCGGACTTATGACAGGCTTGTACAACCATGGGAATTTTTTTACGTGTGTAAAATGTAACTTCTATGGTAGAATGCAAGACTTAAGAACAATCATACACTTTCAGACTGATTTGGTCATTTGTGTTGTTTTTCAGATTTGATTTCTGTGTTCCTACCTCAGATGAAAAGACTCCCACAGAAAATCTTGGCCAGGTGAACAACAACAATACTGAATTTATATCTTTATGATTTTGATCGAGTTGATCTCAACCAAACAAAAAGGACTATTGGCACTCCATCCAGAATACATGAGTTTTTCCTCTATTGTTAACACTTGACATACATTCTCAGGGTTGTCATTAAGAATTCTAGTAGCAGGAGTAAGGTGTAACATTACAGGAGAATACTTTGAAAAAGGCTCCGCGCCTAAATAAAAAATAGTCCTAGGCTACCTAACATTGGCTGGAGATTTCTGTGTAGTAAACAGAGAATTCTCCAATCTTTGATGCCTAATAAACACCCTGCTTTCTCTGTGCTCTGTCTACACCAGTGCTACCATAATTCTATGCTGGATGCCAAAGGAGTACAAAATGTTCACCTTCGCGGATAGCTACATGGCAGTGGCCAGCAAAATTCAGGCTCTTTTTCTTCAACCATGTGCAAGCCTACATGTAGGCATTGCTTAGTGGTTATAATATTGGCTAATCCATCTTGCATTCAATGCTTGATTCGGGTTTGACAATGTGATTATTTTATAGATTATTGTGATCCTTGATTAGTCTCCTGCCTTATGTAATTCATGTCTCAAATAACGTGATGCACAATTAAAATTTTTTTTAGGGTGAAAGATTGGCAATACCCAGTGTATTTTTGAGTTTACACAAAACCCAAACTATTCACAATTTTTGTGTAGTTGTGGTAAATCATTTGCTTAGTGGGTTATTGATTATTACTGTTACGGTATAGAAGGTAAAGGCGTACACAAGCCAAAGGCCCAAATTTCCAGAGCTTATCCTGGTTTCCTTAGCGGGAAGCATGCCTAGGATTATTGCTACTCCCCCTGGATGGGATGCTGGTCCATCACTGGGTTACCCCCCCCCCCCCCCCCCCACTGTGTGGTTCCCCTTTTTTTCCTCTCATTTGAAGAGAAAAAGAGGAAGAAAAATATTGTTTTTGGAACAAAGAAAAAAGGGGGGGGGTGTGGTTCGTCTCCCCCCCACACATATTTTTAGCAGACGTACCCCAACAACCCCCCCCCCCCTCCAACGTTTCTTTTTGTTATTTAACATTTAGTGGATAAAAGAAAAAGGGGCGACCAGCCCAAAGCGCCCATTTTCCGGGCTTTTCCCTGTTTTCCTTGCGGGGAGCGTGCCCTATGTTTTTGCTTCTCCCCCCGGGGGGGGGGCTGGGGCCACCCTTGGGTTCCCCCCCCCCCCCCCAGTATGTTGTTGGTACCCATTTATACACTTGTGTAAAGAGAGATAAAGTGGAGTAAAGTTCCTTGTCTGATGAAACAAGGCAATGGGTGAGGCTTGAATCCTGGACCTCCAGATCTGAACTTTGAGACAACTTGGCCATACACGCCCCCACACTGTTACAGTTTTCTGTTTATAAAAATCTTAAATTAAATAATGCAAATTTATAGTGCGTCAATACATTGTGATAAAATTGTAACCGACTGTACGTACAAACAACTCTATCACAATCATATCATTGATATTTTATTTCCTTCACCTTTTAGGTTGTATTTGGAGAAAGAATAAGGCCTTCTATGTACAATGTAAGAATTCATCAACCATTCATTCTATGTTTTGACAGAACATCCGTCATACATTTTGTGTGTTACATAATTGAAATCACTGTCAATTAATGGAAGTTTTATGACAAACAGTTTAAATATTGAATGATGTTTATTACTCATGTAATATTTATGTTGCTTACAGCTGTATTATAAAAAAGTTAAGATGTTCCGAAAACACAGAAAGCAACACTTTTGTTGTTAGTAGGGCTATTTTCGTTTCCCATATTGGAGGTTGAAGTTGTTATCTCCAACATGGTCGCTGTGCTGACAGTACAAAATCCAAATTGCCATAAGATCACTCCTGTTCACTTGATTGTTTTAATTTCATAGTTTTTGGCAACTACACTTTAGTAGTTCAATCATTATTCCGGTCTTCTTCCTATGTTTCGAGCATCATCAGTATTTCAGTCAGGGACCGGGCTGAGTTGCATAAAGCAACTTAGGATTGCAGGAATAATTTTATAAAACCAGGCCCTGGGCCAGTTTTAGTACCTTTTCTTTCTAGGGATTATTTATTCCCTTGAATTCCCCATTGTTATTGTTGTAAGGAGAGCTTACATGTAATATGATATAATTATTGTGCTTTATCCCTTTAAATTTTGTTATGAAACAGATAACTTTCAAGAAAGATGTCCAGTGTAAGACTCTCTGTAAGAAAACTTATAAAAATGGTGACAAGGAGCAGATGAAGAAGCTGGATTTCTTGAAAAATGGAATTGCTCTCAATTATCAAAATCACTGGTATGCCCTTCATGTCATGATGCATAATCTTCCCATTGCTTTGTTTGTTAGTCTGTGGTTGTCGTCAGTCATGAAAAATGAAAGCTCCATATAATCCCTTAAAATGTCGCTTAAAGTCAGACCTGTACAACAAGGGAGAAGGGCAGAAAAGGAGTTTGCATACATGTACATGTAACTACTAGTCCAAAGAAGAGGGAAAGGAAAGCTGAAAACTCAAAGAGGGTTGTGACTAAGATTTCAAGTTGTAGGGTGAATACAACAAGTAGGCGGGGAATCAAACAGTTAAATTTGTAGGGATTTCTTGTTATTCTATTTTTCAACTATTTTTTCATGATTATTGCCGGGGGTCGCATTTGTAGTAGTTGGGGCAAAATCTTTTTTGTGTGGGTTAGTAAAGAAGGTAGTTTGTCAGAAGTGCCTTTTTATGGAGTTTAAAAAGCTTGTTTCTCTTATCTGTTGATAGGATTATTGATAACATGCCAGTTACATGGTGTTATGATGTCGCAGATGAAACAGCCCAGTACTGTTCAACAGGATTCCCAATTGGCTGTCATGTCTCTGAAGATGGACAGGCACGAGATGCCTGCGTAACAAGTGTAAGCTTTATTTGATTTTTGTTTAAGATTTTAGAAGATTAAGTCCAAATGTTGCTGTCCATTTGTAATTAAATCTATTAATTTTATTATCACAGTGTATAAACACTAATGAAAAACCAGCTGGGACCTTTCATGCCAGAGAATGATGTTATCACATCAGATGATGGCATGTTATTTATGTGAAGAGATCACCATTGCTATATGGTTATGCAATAAATGGAATCATTGACAGCAAGAGAAAAAATATTAAAGTGAATTGGTTTGTTACAGAAAATGTATTTGATTGGCATTTATGTGATACAGCTGTAAATAGAACATAACATAGCTGCTGGGAGATACATCTATGAAAATTCACTTTGAGTGATTTTGTTGATGAATATTGCACTCATTTGCTGTACTTGCTCATAAGATACAGTACATTTTAACATGCACCGAGAACTTTTGTATTTCCTGGCTGTAAGTTGTCACCTTAACCCTTCTTCGGGCAATGTATGGCTGGCCCCAGTTGTTCAAATGTAGGTAATGTCATACACTGGATAAATCACTGTCCATCAGACAAACATAGTCAACACAATTATTGGTTTTTCCCTACCATTGATCTGCTGGGTAGTGTATTATCAAGTGGATACCGCTATCCGACATTTTAACCACTAGGCCCTGGTTAATAGGACAGTCACATGACTTTTGGAGGGTATAGTTTATTTGTGGCCCAAGTAGCATCATTTGCCCCCAAGCAGAGCGAAGGTACAAGGGACACAAATAAACTATATGCCCTCCTAGAGTCATGGGATTATCATTATTATCAACACACAAGGCCGAAATTGTACAAACTTATTTCGTAAGGAAAGATTGTTTAACATGAAATCATGTTGCAGGCTGCAAATTCCATTTTCAGCCCATACTTTGTTTGTCAATTGGCTGCATGTAGTGGTAAGAATAGCATGCAAGATGAGTTTCGACATGCTACTTGTAATCACAATTTATTGATGATTTAGACACCAATCTTCTGCTGGATGTGCATTTACTTTGTTAAAACGTGGAGGCAATCGCAAACCACTTGCATGCAATATAAAAATAAAGAAGTCCAATACTTAACAGTGCAGCTCTGAAAAAGTGGTGAAAACATCCATAAAAACCCCTCAATATGTTGATCCGTAAATATATATATTTTTAACTCTTGAAGTGCATAGTATTTTACTGACATGATACTTATTTACTTTATTTTAGAGCAAGTTTAATGAGCGTGGCATGCATTATGTGTTTAACCATGTTGATATTAAAATCAAGTACCAAGATGGTAATGGGCAAGACTGGGATGGTGCGCGTCTTATGTCTGCTCAGGTTTCACCCAAAAGGTAATTTATGTGGTGTCAAAACGAAAGTGCAAATTAATAGACCCTTTCATAGCTATGTTCAAGTTTTGGTAAAGACCAGTAAGATAATATACTTCAATACTGTTGAAAAAAACGCTTATAAAATGGTAAAACATACAAACATTGTTCGCAAATACGCCAAATTTGGCGTATTTTACGCCAAAATTGTTCAGATGACTCCAATGTGGTTACGGAGGTAGTCACTTTGACTCCAGAAATTTTCGGTAACAAACACAGTTTTGTCCTTACCTTTTTGCAACAAATACAATTTACATTAATTGTAAACATTGTCAACCTTAATTAAATCATCGAAATTAAAGAATAAATTATACTGCACAACAAAACAGGAAGAGGGTAAATTACGATCAAAGTTTACTCGATGACCGCCATCATGATTTGAGCTTTCCAGGTCAGCGGACCGTTACAGCTAATTCGTGTATCCCTCACGATAGTGTATACATGCCGGGACCACGTGCTGGAAAGTCTGATACAGTCATACTTGACTCCAAATAATTATCCCAAAATGACTCCGAAATTTGTGAAGCAGAAGTCACACCGACTCCAATCATCAATAAAATTTGCAAACCCTGTACAAAGTTTAAAGGTGATACATCGAAGCGAACAAAGATATTGCTCTATCATTTTACAGAGATTTGTATGGGCCCATTACTTGCCCACCAACCCCCTCACCTTACAAACGTCTGTAATTTATTTCTTTTGCAGTTTAAAACACGAGAAAGAAGGTGAATGTGGCGATCTTCCAGCTATGGGAATACCTACGGAGCCCAAAGATGAACTATCCATCATTTATTCATACTCTGTCACCTTTATGGTAAGTTCACCAGCTCTTTTATTCTTTTTACTCTCTTTGTCTCTTGAGGAACAAAACTAAATACAGGCAGAGGAGACTATTCTTGTGGTGATTACGGGTAACACTGTGATGGGGTTCGTACTACATGTATGGGTTTTGGAAAACCTGGAAAGTCTTGAAATTTAAGAATTTCACTTTTCAGGCCTGGAATTGAAAGTCATGGAATTAATTTTAGTTGTCAGTCATGGAAATTCATTGAAAATTAAAGCTGTGTTTGGTAGATTAGTCACTGCTGCTAGCAAGGCAAGGAAAAATAAGACAAGACAAGTACATGTAATTATACAGGACCAACGCCACGAAGTCCTGAATTTTTGTCTGTGGAACTGAGTTATGTCAAAGAATACCTTAAAACAAGGATAGTTTTGAAACTATGTATTTTCGAGGTGACAGTTACACCTAAGATCATGGAAAACCGGAGGAGGTCATGGAAAAAGTCGTGATAAGTGCGGGAATTTGTAGTCTCAAAAGAGCATGCACCCTGTGCGAGTAATTTGACGGAAAGAATTGATGAATGTTCAAACCTTTGTAATGAGTCTGAACTTATGCAAGATTCTAACCCATTATCTTAGTTGGCGAATCCTTTGAACGGCCAATCTTTTAACCTTGTAAGAGAGACTTGTAACAGAGCAATTAAATATACACTGGTGATCTAATTAATTTATTTTTATTACACTGTAACAATCCTCCTGATGTTGTAGAAAGAAGAAGACCCAAATCATAAGTGGGCCTCACGCTGGGACTACATTCTGGACTCCATGCCTCATACTAAAATCCAGTGGTTTAGGTAAGAAACATGACAATCATACTCTAAGACCTCCGCAAGCTTTGGTCATAAAGAGCTCTCAGTCTGTGTTGAATTTCATGCTAGTTAAATAATGTGGTCTTGATCTTCTCCAAATAAACTGAAGATCACAGGGAAAATCCTTCAACATGAATTCCAGACATTTTTGAGCCTACTGGACCAAATTAATCATGAATTGATCTTTTTGAGGTCCCCATGCCTCAAAACTGCTTTGATCTTTCATCAAATTCTCATAACTAATTCTTTAGGGAAATACATGTACATGTACAGTTATGGGGATACATGTAACTTTGCAGAACAAATATTTATTATTTATTTGTATGTGGCTATTGGGGCCAGTGTGAGCAAAGCGAGTTAACTGGCAAAACATCAACATGCAGCAAAGCTGAAAATTCCTAAATCACCATTTTCTGTTGCTATAATTATTGATTAGTTTATGTATTAATAAATAAATTAATTTATTTTTTGCACATTTATATTTCAGCAAAGAATGAAAGATAAATGTATTATCGTGTTGGACTTACATGTACTATAAAACATTGAGTTGCTGTTATTGTTTTTTGTATTCAGCATCATGAACTCTCTGGTTATCGTCCTGTTTCTCTCTGGCATGGTAGCCATGATCATGCTGCGAACTCTACATAAAGACATCGCTCGTTATAATCAAATGGATTCAGCGGTATGTTATTTTACCTTCTGCTTGGTATTGTTTGTTGACAATTGGTCTCAAAAACACAGTCTTTTTAAGCAGATACATCTCATTCAGAAGTTACTCTTATTGGCTTGTAAGAGATGTACACTTTTTGAGCAGATCTTAATAAAAAAGGGTAAATTAGAACAGCAGAAAAAATCTTTCTCTGGTTGCTGTGCAATTTTCAGAGCTATTTTCATGTAGCATCCGTTGTTGGGCATATCTACCCAAATGGTCAACTGGTCAGAAAATTTATTTATATCCTTCCTAAACAGAAAAATTGTTTGTAGGCCTGCATAGGGAAAAATGTTGTACCTGTAGGTCAGTTTGATCTATTCTTGGTTCATTTAATATATAAGGCTACATTAATGACCTCTGATGGGATGTTTGTTTGTTGTTAGTTAGCTGGGTCAATGACTTTATACTTTTCATTTATCTGACTGTTTGTAAAGGATGATGCACAAGAGGAGTTTGGCTGGAAGTTAGTTCATGGAGATGTTTTCCGTCCTCCAAAGAAAGGCATGCTTCTTTCTATCATGCTTGGCTGTGGATCTCAAATTTTTATCATGGTGTTTTTTACACTAGGTTAGTTGGCAATGCTTTCTGTGATGATTAATCTGATCATTTTGGTTGCTTTGGGCGTGCAGTGATCTATATGAAGGTAGGGTGGTAGGGTACATCATTTCTCTATCAAGTCTCTTTGTAAAAATAATAACCTCTTCCCTATAAAGTCTCTTTGTAAAAATAATAACCTCACAGTCCTTACCCCCACCCCTGTGGATGTTCCTCCTCTCCTGCGGACACCTCTCCCCATGGGATTTCTTGTATAACCTTTTACATGCATAAAACTAGCAGGAATATTATTTTTTTCATTCTACACATTGCTCCTATGCATCTCTCTTGATACATGTGTATCAGGAGGAAAATATATTATTTTATCTTGTGTACTCTTCATTTATGTTTGAACTTCTGTCTTTTTCAGTGTTTGCTTGTCTTGGATTTTTGTCTCCTGCAAATCGTGGAGCCTTGATGACTTGTTCGTTGGTTAGTAGTTTTGTTTTTTTGGTTTGCTGCATTGTTCGTAAAATGGTATTCTTTTATGATCTCACTTAATAAAGGTATGGTTTTACTTTTTTTAATTAGGTATTGTTTGTTTGCCTTGGGTCTCCTGCTGGTTATGTCTCTGCTAGAATTTACAAAAGTAAGTGTCAGTTTGTAAACTTGTTTCTGCACTTAGGGTGGATTTCCACTGTTGAGTAATTTTTATGTGCATACATCTCTGTAAATAAAATAGAGGCAATGTATGAACAGCTGGGTGTAAATGCAAAAGTTTTTGCAAGGTTCAACTTATAAAGTTTATGTGCAGCCTTCTATACATTGCCTTTCTTCAATCCATGCACCTGAAATTTACCTAAAAATTTCATGGATCCACACCTGTTTCCACCATTTTATGGAAATTGGTCAGATTTGTCATAATAGATAGAATTGTTTTTAATAAAGAAATAACGTCCCAAGTTGCAAGGCTTCATCCAAGGAGAAAGAAACGGCCAATATCATGCCTGAATTACTCAGAAACCCAGGAAATGGGGACTTAAGGGAGTTGAAATCAAAAACATTTCCCAGGGGGTGGGGGGTGGGGTTTGCCCCTGGACCCCTCCTAGAAGCTCATTTAGGAAATCAGTCAGTATTTATCCTAGATCCGCCCTTGAGGAGAAACTATTGAAGTGATTGAAGTTTCTTCAGTGGCCTGGCTTTTGTCTTAGAATTGTCTAGACAAATGATAATTATTATGCAAGTCTCTTTCTTTCTCTCTTGTCAAGTGAAAACATTCATGCCTTCACTCATGTTGTTTTATTTGTTTATCACACTGGGATTAATTTGTTAACTGTTCATGTTTTTTTTAACAAGTGATTGGTGGTGAGTTGTGGAAGACAAATGTTCTGTTGTCTGCATTCTTCTTTCCTGGGTGAGTTAACATTTGTTACTGCTTTTATTCATCAGTGCAACAATGCAGAACTTCTACATTTTAGTGCTCTCCGTAGTGTTCAAGGAAAATCATTGTTTCATTTTGTTGGAACACCCCCAAAACTAAAAAAAAAAATGGGTTTTCAAGGTTTGCCAATTTATAGCAGGGTCATGGCAGCACCATTCATGAAAAGCTAATTCCTGCAGTCCCATATCAGTCTCCTCCCTCGTTTATAATTAGTATTTTGTGATTTCAGGTTGATGTTTGGCATTTTCTTCCTGTTGAATCTTGTATTGTGGGCAGAAGGTTCATCAGCTGCTGTTCCATTCACCACCTTGCTGGCTCTCTTGGCCATGTGGTATGTTTTTTGTGCACCATAATTTATTACACTAGTTAAGGTCAATGGAAAATTTAACAAAGTTAGCTGTCACAAGCTTAGCAGTCTCTGTTAGTCAGTGTAGTGTAGGCTCACATGGAGTATTGTTCTTATTATTTTAAACATTTTTGTGCATAAATAATATGATTTTTTCTTGACTTAGATGAGGTTTCATTTTCAAATTAGCAGAGTATAATATTTTGTTGATCTTTCATTCTGTAGATGAAACACTGCATTTGCCAAAAACATTTAATAAAAGGTGATTTTGTTGCTCAACAGGTTTGGTATTTCTGTCCCCCTTACCTTTCTGGGAGCTTATCTTGGATTTAAAAAGAAGGTACTATAAGTACATGTAATATCACATGTTAAAAAGAAAAAGTTAGCTTAACAGATCAAAGCTAGCTTTAACCCATTTCCAATAGATGGGTGTGGGGAAAAATGCCTAGAAAAACTGAGGGACCTCAAACCAAGCACAGATGGTAACCATGACAACCCTGTTCGGGGCACCTACCAGGCGGCATCACCCAGAGAACCAGACACAACCAGAGGGAGGGGAGGGCTGGGAGCAAAATGGCTAAAACATTTGCACACAAACAGCAATGTTAGCAAAATGAATTGACCTTAATGAAAGTCAAAACGTCAGTCACTGTCAACAACAGTCACTCAGGACTTCGTTCACCTGGACGATCATACTCAACCTACTGATGAAATGACTCCTGGGTACAAACTTTTCACAGTTTTAATGAAAGTGCTGTGAAATTACTGCAAATGCAAATGTCCTGCCCTGCAAATACCCTGGGACTGCCACACATACAATTCGAGACACAGAGCGCTTGCCAGCAGTGTCTTGTGCCCAGCTAGATTACATTTAGCATTACTTAAAATGACAGAAGAGGCTGCACTGTCAGTTTGGAATGGACATCATTTCAGGCACTCTGTAATAAAGCCATTATTTTGAACTAGCTTTCTTTTCTTATTGTATTTAGCCAATTGAACAGCCTGTGCGAACCAACCAAATCCCACGGCAGATTCCGGAACAGGTAGTTGTTCTTTTGTTTGATACATCTACTTCACATCTTTAATTTGCTTTCAAGAGTTCTAAACAACAGAAAGTCTTTAAACATTGTTGATGGGTTTGTATTGCAGATCTTGCAAACCCGTAAATAATTTCTTTAAGTTTATTTCATCTTGCACCAAGCTTGTTCACTGAAGATGCATGGATTTTGGCCGAGTTCTTTCTCGCACTTAAATAGACTGAGAAGAAGTCAAGGGCAGTGACTTAAAAAAAAAGAACTAGGCAAAAATCCAGGGTCCTTGAGCAAACAAGCTTAGGCAGTAAAGGATTCATTATACGGCCATAAAGAGTACATTTTCCTGTGGAAGAAATGGGGAAAATCCTGAGCAGTTACGATTGTCCCATCTTGCCTGCTCAGGTAGCCAATGAGAACACAGGATCAGTGTCATCTTGCCCACTCGCAGATTAATCCATATCTGCGTTATTGACCAAGCACGGAGACTAATTATCTTCCTTTTACTGAAATTCCTTTTGCAGAGCATCTACACCCGTGCTGCCCCTGGAATCATCATGGGTGGAGTTTTACCATTTGGCTGCATTTTTATCCAATTATTCTTCATTCTCAACAGCATTTGGTAAGTAATTGAACTGAGCTAGAAACGATCATGTGGTTGTTTATGACTTCCCTGTCTAGTGCAAAGTCATGTCTGGTAGTCTGACACTAGTAGATTTTCTTGCTGGGCAAGTAACTTTTAATGCTTTCTTGCCCAGTGGACAGGGCAAGTCATCCTCTAAAATAATCTTACTAAGATGAGCAAGATTTGGCCCCAGGTGAGCAAAATATAAGAGCTGCTTCCCCAAAAGAGCCTTTTGGTGGTTTTTTGAATTGCTATCATGAGTTTGAAAATATCAGTACACACAAACTTGCTTGTTTGATATGTGTTGCATAAGGAGAAACAAAATGTTGGTCAGTCTTCGAGGTGTAAGGATTAATAGTGTTTTGTCTTTCTTTTTTCTTGAACAGGTCTCATCAGATTTACTACATGTTTGGGTTCTTGTTTGTTGTGTGTTTAATTTTGCTGTTGACTGTATCTGAGACTACTGTCCTGTTGTGCTATTTTCATCTTTGTGCGGAGGTATGACTCACAAAACACATGTAAACTTAGTCATAAAAACATTTCTTAGAATCCGCAATCTTGGACAAAAATTGTTAAGAATTGTACCCGCAGGACCTCTTCCCTTGTCCCAACCTTGTCAGTGTTGTTCAGTCATGGGCAGAAATGATCCCGCCAGTCTTCGACGTTGTTTTTTGAGGAAGGGGGAAGAAGGAAGTATTTCTAATGAGCAGTACAACTGAACGTGTAAGAGCTTTGACAGTGACGTCCTTTTTTCTTAATAGTTTTGTCCAAGATTGTAGGATTGATTTAGTATGTGTAACCTTTTTTTTTTTTACTGGTCCTGCGATGTCTGTTATCTGAGTAGTCATTTATTTCTCTGTAGATTAAACAAGTTTACAGAAGCAAATAATTAATTAAGAAATAACTTAAGTGAAAGGACAAAAATAGTCAAACTGATACATTGTCCTAACAGATGGAAAAGTATAAAAGATTTCTAATTAAGTGGATACAACGCAAAATAAATGCTAATACAGAAAACAAAAAAAGATAATATACAATAAGCAAATAAACTATAACTGGTCCAAACACATGCACACGCACACACACACACACACATACACATGAAAGCAATCTATATATTAAGTATGAGTAGATAAAGCGACTAATGAATGAATAATGAAGCTGACAAAATCTTATAGAGTAACCATTTGAACGGGACCTCTTCGGCATTATTATTTCAGTGACACTTGTGTTTGGCCTGGGTTTTGCACGGATTTGGCAATATTTTCTTGAATTTGATTTTTATTTACTTGTCTAGCCTGAGAAAACAGTCGACATTTCGTGACGCCACCACTGCTTTCCCCGCCAAATGACGTGTCAGAAATGAGCGAAGAAATTCCATACTGATGACGCGTGGCCACCTAGATCTGGGTAGTGCTTCTGATTGGTTGAAATAAATTTCCCACCCGGCACGACCAATCAGAAGCACTACCCAGTTCTGGGTAGTGCTTCTGATTGGTTGAAATAAATTTCCCACCCGGCACGACCAATCAGAAGCACTACCCAGTTCTGGGTAGTGACGCGTCAACAGTATAGAATTTCTGCGCTCGTTTCTCAGACGTCATTTGGCGGGAAACCAGTGGTAGCGTCGCCAAATGTCGGCTGTTTTCTCAGGCTACTACTTGTCTAATCATCTGAATTCTTCAACTGTTCTGTTGTACTTCAGGATTATCATTGGTGGTGGCGATCGTTCCTGACTGGCGGCTGTACTGCCTTGTATTTCTTCTTGTACTCTATCCATTTCTTCTGCACCAAGCTGACCATCAGTGGGACGGCCTCCACCTTCCTGTACTTTGGTTATACTCTTATCATGGTTCTTATCTTCTTTTTATTTACTGGTAAGAAGACCACTGATATTGATCACTTGTTGACACTTTGTAACAGCCAATCTCCCTAAAAGCGTTCCACTCGATTTTCGGACTCGAAAAAACTTTTGCTTTAAATTTTTATCATCAATACTGCTGTCCATCCTAATAACGAAATTGCAGTTAGAATGAGGAAATCAGACATCAAATCGGTAAAAAAAAGATAAGAAATCAGACAAGAAGTTGGACATAAAATTGGCCATGAAATCGGACAAGAAATCCGTCGAAAAAATCGTTCATGCACAAGATTTGTACCCGGCTTGTTTTTGTAAATGGTAAGCACCCCTTGTTATATTCATCTCTTTGTTCTTTGTGATTGGTGGTGAGTTGTGGAAGACAAATGTTCTGTTGTCTGCATTCTTCTTTCCTGGGTGAGTTAACATTTGTTACTGCTTTTATTCATCAGTGCAACAATGCAGAACTTCTACATTTTAGTGCTCTCCGTAGTGTTCAAGGAAAATCATTGTTTCATTTTGTTGGAACACCCCCAAAACTAAAAAAAAAAATGGGTTTTCAAGGTTTGCCAATTTATAGCAGGGTCATGGCAGCACCATTCATGAAAAGCTAATTCCTGCAGTCCCATATCAGTCTCCTCCCTCGTTTATAATTAGTATTTTGTGATTTCAGGTTGATGTTTGGCATTTTCTTCCTGTTGAATCTTGTATTGTGGGCAGAAGGTTCATCAGCTGCTGTTCCATTCACCACCTTGCTGGCTCTCTTGGCCATGTGGTATGTTTTTTGTGCACCATAATTTATTACACTAGTTAAGGTCAATGGAAAATTTAACAAAGTTAGCTGTCACAAGCTTAGCAGTCTCTGTTAGTCAGTGTAGTGTAGGCTCACATGGAGTATTGTTCTTATTATTTTAAACATTTTTGTGCATAAATAATATGATTTTTTCTTGACTTAGATGAGGTTTCATTTTCAAATTAGCAGAGTATAATATTTTGTTGATCTTTCATTCTGTAGATGAAACACTGCATTTGCCAAAAACATTTAATAAAAGGTGATTTTGTTGCTCAACAGGTTTGGTATTTCTGTCCCCCTTACCTTTCTGGGAGCTTATCTTGGATTTAAAAAGAAGGTACTATAAGTACATGTAATATCACATGTTAAAAAGAAAAAGTTAGCTTAACAGATCAAAGCTAGCTTTAACCCATTTCCAATAGATGGGTGTGGGGAAAAATGCCTAGAAAAACTGAGGGACCTCAAACCAAGCACAGATGGTAACCATGACAACCCTGTTCGGGGCACCTACCAGGCGGCATCACCCAGAGAACCAGACACAACCAGAGGGAGGGGAGGGCTGGGAGCAAAATGGCTAAAACATTTGCACACAAACAGCAATGTTAGCAAAATGAATTGACCTTAATGAAAGTCAAAACGTCAGTCACTGTCAACAACAGTCACTCAGGACTTCGTTCACCTGGACGATCATACTCAACCTACTGATGAAATGACTCCTGGGTACAAACTTTTCACAGTTTTAATGAAAGTGCTGTGAAATTACTGCAAATGCAAATGTCCTGCCCTGCAAATACCCTGGGACTGCCACACATACAATTCGAGACACAGAGCGCTTGCCAGCAGTGTCTTGTGCCCAGCTAGATTACATTTAGCATTACTTAAAATGACAGAAGAGGCTGCACTGTCAGTTTGGAATGGACATCATTTCAGGCACTCTGTAATAAAGCCATTATTTTGAACTAGCTTTCTTTTCTTATTGTATTTAGCCAATTGAACAGCCTGTGCGAACCAACCAAATCCCACGGCAGATTCCGGAACAGGTAGTTGTTCTTTTGTTTGATACATCTACTTCACATCTTTAATTTGCTTTCAAGAGTTCTAAACAACAGAAAGTCTTTAAACATTGTTGATGGGTTTGTATTGCAGATCTTGCAAACCCGTAAATAATTTCTTTAAGTTTATTTCATCTTGCACCAAGCTTGTTCACTGAAGATGCATGGATTTTGGCCGAGTTCTTTCTCGCACTTAAATAGACTGAGAAGAAGTCAAGGGCAGTGACTTAAAAAAAAAGAACTAGGCAAAAATCCAGGGTCCTTGAGCAAACAAGCTTAGGCAGTAAAGGATTCATTATACGGCCATAAAGAGTACATTTTCCTGTGGAAGAAATGGGGAAAATCCTGAGCAGTTACGATTGTCCCATCTTGCCTGCTCAGGTAGCCAATGAGAACACAGGATCAGTGTCATCTTGCCCACTCGCAGATTAATCCATATCTGCGTTATTGACCAAGCACGGAGACTAATTATCTTCCTTTTACTGAAATTCCTTTTGCAGAGCATCTACACCCGTGCTGCCCCTGGAATCATCATGGGTGGAGTTTTACCATTTGGCTGCATTTTTATCCAATTATTCTTCATTCTCAACAGCATTTGGTAAGTAATTGAACTGAGCTAGAAACGATCATGTGGTTGTTTATGACTTCCCTGTCTAGTGCAAAGTCATGTCTGGTAGTCTGACACTAGTAGATTTTCTTGCTGGGCAAGTAACTTTTAATGCTTTCTTGCCCAGTGGACAGGGCAAGTCATCCTCTAAAATAATCTTACTAAGATGAGCAAGATTTGGCCCCAGGTGAGCAAAATATAAGAGCTGCTTCCCCAAAAGAGCCTTTTGGTGGTTTTTTGAATTGCTATCATGAGTTTGAAAATATCAGTACACACAAACTTGCTTGTTTGATATGTGTTGCATAAGGAGAAACAAAATGTTGGTCAGTCTTCGAGGTGTAAGGATTAATAGTGTTTTGTCTTTCTTTTTTCTTGAACAGGTCTCATCAGATTTACTACATGTTTGGGTTCTTGTTTGTTGTGTGTTTAATTTTGCTGTTGACTGTATCTGAGACTACTGTCCTGTTGTGCTATTTTCATCTTTGTGCGGAGGTATGACTCACAAAACACATGTAAACTTAGTCATAAAAACATTTCTTAGAATCCGCAATCTTGGACAAAAATTGTTAAGAATTGTACCCGCAGGACCTCTTCCCTTGTCCCAACCTTGTCAGTGTTGTTCAGTCATGGGCAGAAATGATCCCGCCAGTCTTCGACGTTGTTTTTTGAGGAAGGGGGAAGAAGGAAGTATTTCTAATGAGCAGTACAACTGAACGTGTAAGAGCTTTGACAGTGACGTCCTTTTTTCTTAATAGTTTTGTCCAAGATTGTAGGATTGATTTAGTATGTGTAACCTTTTTTTTTTTTACTGGTCCTGCGATGTCTGTTATCTGAGTAGTCATTTATTTCTCTGTAGATTAAACAAGTTTACAGAAGCAAATAATTAATTAAGAAATAACTTAAGTGAAAGGACAAAAATAGTCAAACTGATACATTGTCCTAACAGATGGAAAAGTATAAAAGATTTCTAATTAAGTGGATACAACGCAAAATAAATGCTAATACAGAAAACAAAAAAAGATAATATACAATAAGCAAATAAACTATAACTGGTCCAAACACATGCACACGCACACACACACACACACATACACATGAAAGCAATCTATATATTAAGTATGAGTAGATAAAGCGACTAATGAATGAATAATGAAGCTGACAAAATCTTATAGAGTAACCATTTGAACGGGACCTCTTCGGCATTATTATTTCAGTGACACTTGTGTTTGGCCTGGGTTTTGCACGGATTTGGCAATATTTTCTTGAATTTGATTTTTATTTACTTGTCTAGCCTGAGAAAACAGTCGACATTTCGTGACGCCACCACTGCTTTCCCCGCCAAATGACGTGTCAGAAATGAGCGAAGAAATTCCATACTGATGACGCGTGGCCACCTAGATCTGGGTAGTGCTTTTGATTGGTTGAAATAAATTTCCCACCCGGCACGACCAATCAGAAGCACTACCCAGTTCTGGGTAGTGCTTCTGATTGGTTGAAATAAATTTCCCACCCGGCACGACCAATCAGAAGCACTACCCAGTTCTGGGTAGTGACGCGTCAACAGTATAGAATTTCTGCGCTCGTTTCTCAGACGTCATTTGGCGGGAAACCAGTGGTAGCGTCGCCAAATGTCGGCTGTTTTCTCAGGCTACTACTTGTCTAATCATCTGAATTCTTCAACTGTTCTGTTGTACTTCAGGATTATCATTGGTGGTGGCGATCGTTCCTGACTGGCGGCTGTACTGCCTTGTATTTCTTCTTGTACTCTATCCATTTCTTCTGCACCAAGCTGACCATCAGTGGGACGGCCTCCACCTTCCTGTACTTTGGTTATACTCTTATCATGGTTCTTATCTTCTTTTTATTTACTGGTAAGAAGACCACTGATATTGATCACTTGTTGACACTTTGTAACAGCCAATCTCCCTAAAAGCGTTCCACTCGATTTTCGGACTCGAAAAAACTTTTGCTTTAAATTTTTATCATCAATACTGCTGTCCATCCTAATAACGAAATTGCAGTTAGAATGAGGAAATCAGACATCAAATCGGTAAAAAAAAGATAAGAAATCAGACAAGAAGTTGGACATAAAATTGGCCATGAAATCGGACAAGAAATCCGTCGAAAAAATCGTTCATGCACAAGATTTGTACCCGGCTTGTTTTTGTAAATGGTAAGCACCCCTTGTTATATTCATCTCTTTGTTCTTTTTTCCAGGCACAGTGGGATTCTTCGCATGCTTTTTCTTTGTGAGGAAAATCTACAGTATCGTCAAAGTCGATTAACTTTGTTTCACCATAAACAAACATTCTGTGGCACTGAAAAGAAACATTCCCATGAGAAATTTCCACTTCTTTGTGAGCACAAGTTTGGCTTAATAGTAAACTTCCCTTGCTGGTATTTATTTGAAGTAATATTTAGTACGTAGTGTATTAAAAATGCCGCAGAACAAAGCCCCTCTTTATGTGGAAATGACAGATCGAATAAAATGAGTAACTGCTCATCTTCGAGTCGTATTGCTTAAAAACGAGGGTGTAAGAAAATTTGGTTTATGTTGGTGTTGCAGAACCTATATGTTGGTTAGTTACTTCGCTGTGGTGGGGTATTGTTAATTGCTTTTTTCAGTTTTTAGTTTTACATCATTTAGAGGTCACACAATTACCGAAACTTAGAAACCACCCTAAAATTTGACTTTTTGTTTTTTCATGGCTTTGTTTCCCTAAAATCTGTCAGAAAAACGACTGAATCAGAGACAACTTTGTCTTGGGAGGCACAGAAGTGACCAGAAATAAAAAATCTGTCATCATGTTCTCCCCTAGTTTTGTAACCAAGGTGATGTGCATGAATTTGCATACAGTTACATAATTAGTACATTAGCGCGACCTATTTAATCAGTATAAGTATGTATAATTGACTCGTGTGTTGCCTGCCCGTGTGTAGACTTCTAATACAAAATTTACGGTAGAAGTCTTCAAACTGGCAGCCACTAAAGGTGTCTGTTCAAGGTTTTCGTTCAATTTTCTTAAATTTAGCAATTAGATAAGAGAAGTAATGCAGTTCGAATTACGTAGGTACATATGGCTCTGTAGCTGTCCCTTGTTGTAAACATTTTGTTAGCTTGTGATAACTCCTTCTCACTGGTGCACTTTTTGGCAAGTCGATCAATTAAAACGTCATCACTATCAAGGTCATGTCTAAGCAATTAACTAAGTAATTCGAGTGGAAAACGTTCAGCGTCACAATAAGATTTTCCACTAAAAAAAAGACTTTATCCTTCAAATGGCTTATAGTAAGGTTTAAGAACTAATGCTTTGTAAAACATAATTTACAAAATGTCCATGGTAATTCTTCATGTTTAATATAAATCTATGCACGAGTAATGGTCAAGAACTGATAAATATAAGTGTTGCTTAACAACTAAAGATCAGCTTAGAGCTCTTGGACTCCTTCATTCCAGTTTTATTGGGCAGAGTTTATTCTAATAATTAATTGCGTCTGTAGTAATTATGGAAGCAATGTGCTTTAACTTAGAGACCTCGGTCTTCCCAAGGTTTTATGTCTATCACAAATTGTAAGCTTTCATTAATTTTGTCTTGTTATAAGGAAAAAGGCTGTAGTTCACTGATTAAATGTATTAAACAGGAAGCTTTAAAATGCTATTCGTCTGTTTCACACCTATGCATCTTAGGTGCTCATCTTTTCCTAGAGTGGCAATTCAACACATGTACGTTACACGCTGGATAACACTATCCACTAAATAAGTCACTATCTCATATTACGAATGTCATTCACTGATGTCATTCTCCAAAAAGGCAAGTCGTTTCGGATGAAATATCTGAATAACGTATCATCTCAAGGCTCTACAGTTGTTACAGTTTGCTTGTTACTGTTGACACAAAAATAATTGCTGACTATATTAGTCAGGATCTTGTGACAAAAGCTTTGTTTTCTATCTAGAGCATCCTGAAATATCAGAAAACTACCTTGTCGCTCCAGGACATCGTCAAACATTACGTTAATGGCTTCTTCAAAGAAAAACAAACTTGCTAGAAATATGAAATTTTTTCCCAATATCATGGCTTAATCCCTTTGAAAAAATTCAAATTTTTCGACCATCTTAAAATGCCATTTATATAGTATAAAAAGCTTCCCTTTTAAATGGGACATAGGGAAACATTACATTAAGCGCTATTTCAAAGAAAATCAAGTTTCGTAGAAATTTGAGATTTTTGACCAAAATCATGGGTTAACCCCTTTGGGGAAATGGAAAATTTTTCGTCTCTATTTAAATGCCATTTTAAAACTCCAAAACGCCTCCTTTTAAAACTAGAACATCGAGAAACATAACATTAAAGAAAAATTCAAAGAAAAACTAAACTTGGAAGAAAATCTTTTAACAAAATCTTGGGTAAACCGTTTAAAAAAATGAAACTTTTTCGTCTATGTTAAAAAGTCATTTTTGCACTTAAATTAAAGAACCGCCTTTTCTAACTAGAACATCGTGAAACATAACATTAAAGCCTAATTCAAAGAAAACAGAAGAAATTTAAAATTTTTAGCCAAAATCGTGGGTTGACCCCACTGGAAAAATGAAAGTTTTTCGTTCAAGTTCAAATGCAATTTTTAAACTCCAAAAACCTTCCTTTTACAGCTATAAAGTCGTAAAACATAACATTAAAGCCTAATTCAAAGGAAACCAAACTTAGACGAAACAAGAGTTTTAACCAAAATCGTCGGTTAACCCCTTTGGAAAAAACCATTTTTCTACTTTTTTAACTTTCTGTTTTTATAGTCTACAAAGGCGTTTTTTCTTTCTAGAATATCGTGAAACACATTTTCCTGGCGTATTTTGCCTAAAACAAAAACATGGAAAAATTTTAACAAAAAGCATGGACTAACCCCTTTGGAAAAATCCCAGTTTTTCGACTTTTTTAACTTGATGTTTTTATAGTCTAGAAAGACGTTTTTTCTATCAAGAATATCGTAAAACACATTTTCCTGGCCTATTTTGCCTAAATAAAAAGATAGAAAAAATGACCAATTTTTGACAAAAATCATGGAAAATGCCAATTTTTCGACTTTTTTAACTTGATGTTTTTATAGTCTACAAAGGCGTTTTTTCTATCAAGAATATTGTAAAACACCTTTTCCTGGCCTATTTTGCCTAAAATAAAAACATGGAAAAATGGCCAACTTTTCACACAAATCATGGACTAACCCCTTTTGAAAAATCCCAATTTTTCAACTTTTTTAACTTAATAGTATTTACAGAAAGGCGTTTTTTCTATCAAGAATATCGTAAAACACATTTTCCTGGCTCATTTTGCAAAACAAAAAGATAAAAAAAATGGCCATTTTTGAAAAAAATCATGGACTAACCCCTTTGAAAAGATCCCAATTTTTCGACTTTTTTAACTTGATGTTTTTATAGTCTAGAAAGGTGTTTTTTCTATCAAGAAAATATTAAAAAAATATTTTCCTTGCCTATTTTCAATAAAATAATAATAAAAAAAATTCACAATTTTTCGACTTTTTGAACTTGTTGTTTTTATATCTTGTTTTTCAAATCGCCATTTTTGGAGCCAAACCATGGGTTAACCCCTTTGGAAAAATGTCAATTTTTCGACTTTTTAAACTTCTTGTTTTTATAGCGTAGAAAAGCGTTTTTTCGTTCTAGAATATCGTAAAAGACATTTTCCTTTTCTATATTGCCTAAAACAAAAAGTTGGAAAAATGGCCATTTTTGGAGCCAAACCATGGGCTAACCCTTGGGAGAAATGTCAATTTTTGGACGTTTTGAACTTCTTGTTTTTATAGCCTAGAAAAAGTTTTTTCGTTCAAGAATATCGTAAAAGACATTTCCTTTTCTATATTGCCTAAAACAAAAAGTTGGAAAAATGGCCATATTTGGACCAAAACCATGGGTTAACCACTGTGGAAAAATGTCAATTTTTGGACTTTTTAAACTTCTTGTTTTTATAGCCTAAAAAAGCGTTTTTTCGTTGTAGAATTTCGTAAAAGACATCTTCCTTTTCTATATTGCCTAAAACAAAAAGTTCGAAAAATGGCCATTTTTGCAGCCAAACTATGGGCTAACCGCTTTGGAAAAATGTCAATTTTTTGCTCTTTTAAAACTTCTTGTTTCTACAGCCTTGAAAGCGTTTTTTCGTTCAAGAATATCGTAAAAGACATTTTCCTTTTCTATATTGCCTAAAACAAAAAGTTGAAAAAATGGCCATTTTTGGACCAAAACCATGGGCTAACCACTTTGGAAAAATGTCAGTTTTTGGACTTTTTAAACTTCTTGTTTTTATAGCCTAGAAAAGCGATTTTTCGTTCTAGAATACCGTAAAAGACATTTTCCTTTTCTATATTGCCTAAAAGAAAAAGTTGGGAAAATGGCCATTTTTGGAGCCAAACCATGGGCTAACCCCTTGCGAAAAATGTCAATTTTTGGACGTTTTGAAGTTCTTGTTTTTATAGCCTAGAAAGCGTTTTTTCGTTCAAGAATATCGTAAAAGACATTTTCCTTTTCTATATTGCCTAAAACAAAAAGTTGGAAAAATGGCCATATTTGGGCAAAAACCATGGGTTAACCACTGTGGAAAAATGCCAATTTTTGGACTTTTTGAACTTCTTGTTTTTATAGCCTAGAAAAGCGATTTTTCGTTCTAGAATATCGTAAAAGACATGTTCCTTTTCTATATTGCCTAAAACAAAAAGTTGGAAAAATGGCCATTTTTGGAGCCAAACCATGGGCTAACCCCTTGGGAAAATGTCAATTTTTGGACTTTTTGAACGTCTTGTTTTTATAGCCTAGAAAAGCGATTTTTCGTTCTAGAATATCGTAAAAGACATTTTCCTTTTCTATATTGCCTAAAAGAATAAGTTGTGAAAATGGCCATTTTTGGAGCCAAACCATGGGCTAACCCCTTGGGAAAAATATCAATTTTTGGACTTTTTGAACTGCTTGTTTTTATAGCCTAGAAAGCGTTTTTTCGTTCAAGAATATCGTAAAAGAGATTTTCCTTTTCTATATTCCCTAAAACAAAAAGTTGGAAAAATGGCCATATTTGGGCCAAAACCATGGGTTAACCACTGTGGAAAAATGTCAATTTTTGGACTTTTTAAACTTCTTGTTTTTATGGCCTAGAACGCGTTTTTTCGTTCTAGAATATCGTAAAAGACATTTTCTTTTTCTATATTGCCTAAAACAAAAAGTTGGAAAAATGGCCATTTTTGGAGCCAAACCATGGGCTAACCACCTTGGAAAAATGTCAGTTTTTGGACTTTTTGAACTTCTTGTTTTTATAGCCTAGAAAGCGTTTTTTCGTTCAAGAATATCGTAAAAGACATTTTCCTGGCCAATATTGCCTAAAAGAAAAAGTTAGATAAATGGCAATTTTTGGACCAAAACCATGGGTTAACCACTTTGGAAAAATGTCAATTTTTGGACTTTTTAAACTTCTTGTGTTTATAGCCTAGAAGAGCGATTTTTCGTTCTAGAATATCGTAAAAGACATTTTCCTGGCCTACATTGCCTAAAACAAAAAGTTGGAAAAATGACCATTCTTGGACAAAATCCATGGGTTAACAGCTTTGGAAAAATGTCAATTTTTCGACTGTTTAAACTTGTTTTTTTTTATAGGCTAAGAAGGCGTTTTTTCGTTCTAGAATATCGTAAAAGACATTTTCCTGGCTTATATTGCCTAAAAAAAATCTGGAAAAATGGCAATTTTTGGACCAAAACCATGGGTTAACCCCTTTGGAAAATTTACAATTTTCCAACTTTTTGAACTTCTTGTTTTGAAGGCATAGAAAAGCGTTTTTTCGTTCCAGAATATCGTAAAAGACATTTTCCTGGCCTATATTGCCTAAAACAAAAAGTTGAAATAATGGCCATTTATGGACCAAAACCATAGGTCAACCCCTTTGGGAAAAGGTCAATTTTTGGACTTTTTGAACTTGTTGTTTTTATAGCCTAGAAAAGCATTTTTTCGTTTAAGAATATCGTGAAAGACATTTTCCTGGCCTATATTGAAAAAAACAAAAAGTTGGAAAAATTGCCATTTTTGGATCAAAACCATGGGTTAACCCCTCTGAAATAATGTCAATTTTTGGACTTTTTAAACTTTTTGTTTCTATAGCCTAGAAAAGCGTTTTTTCGTTCTAGAATATCGTCAAAGACATTTTCGTGGCCTATATTGCCTAAAAAAAAAAGGTTGGAAAAATGGCCATTCTTGGACTAAAACCATGGGTTAACCCCTTTGGAAAAATGTCAATTTTTCGACTGTTTGAACTTCTTGTTTTTTATAGCCTAAAAAGGCGTCTTTTCGTTCTAGAATATCGTAAAAGACATTTTCCTTTTCTATATTGCCTAAAAGAAAAAATTTGGAAAAATGGCCATTTTTGGAGCCAAACCATGGGCTAACCCCTTGGGAAAAATGTCAATTTTTGGACTTTTTGATCTTCTTGTGTTTATAGCCTAGAAAAGCGATTTTTCGTTCTAGAATATCGTAAAAGACATTTTTCTGGTCTATATTGCCTAAAACAAAAAGTTGGAAAAATGGCCATTTTTGGAGCCAAACCATGGGTTAATCGCTTGGGAAAAATGTCAATTTTTCGACCTTTTGAACT